TTCCGATCTTCAACAGGGGTGGTCACATCTATTGGGTCTCCCGTCCACAACCTCACACCACCCCTGTTGACTGAAGTGATTCCGTCCAAACCATTCATATTGCCCGGCCGAAGCCGGGCGACAGTCACTAATCTGAGGAGTAATGGAGGGTTCGTCTGGGCGGACTTTTTCAAAGCGTGTGGCGTTTTATTCCGTTTTGACCAAAATACAGCCGCTTGCAAAAGTACCAGTGTGCATGCAAATGCATCGTCAGAGCACTCTTAAAGCGAGTAACGAGCTCTATCCTATGCATGCTACTGTGAATGTGGCTAAGCGAGCGAGAACTTCGATCGAAATCCGGACTCGAGGTGCAGACCGCTCCGCAAGACGGCCCGTCTGTTAGGCGCATGGGCACCGGGGCGGTGCGTTGTGTATGCAAACATCGAACACCGTTCTCTCACGACTGTACAAAAAGCTGTGAAATACCACAAGCTAATTATCCTTCAGATACTACCCCCACACTGTCAATGATTCATGAGGCGGCCTCGTACCCCGTTACCATAATCACTAACTGGTGTGCTCGGCCGGGTCGCTCGGAAGCGATAACGATAAGGTCGGCACCTTCTCCCCTACATACACACTGCGGCGATGGTCCGTAAGCATAGCATTAGTCAGATATCAGCTTCTCCGTGCGCGGATGTTGCTGCGGGTTTTGAGAGCAAGGAGCGCCCGCCTGATAGGACAGCGTGACGGAGGCGTTCGGTTCGGCCCGGAACCCTGCTTCCCGGTGCACGTTCCGCTTGGCAAGAGACAACGGGCTATCAACAACGCCCCGTTTACCGAATGTTCGTGTATAGTCTCCATTGCTCACCTGCTGGTAAGTGTCACAACACTCCTTGCCAGCCTAGCACTCACATAACAGGACCATGTTCGACCTTCAGGCCCTCAGTGGCTCCTTCCCCCACATCGTCGACTCGATCATCCTGTTCAGTGACGACGAGACGCAGCGGACGCTTCGCCTGACCTCCCGTTTCCTCCGCCAGCATGTCGACTTGACGTTGCACCGCGCCCTCCGAGGTTCGGTTTGGTACATCGAGAATGCCAGCGGGGTTTTTGTGCGAGGGCTCGATATCGATAGCATCCGCCGAGTCGTCTCCCGCTGGGACGAGCATCCCCACTTCCCGGGGTTGAAAGCTGCCAAGGCAGTCTTCTTTTGCGACACCCCTGCAGATACCGCGGAACAGGTAGCTAGCCAGGTTTCGCCGGATGTGGTTCCCTACGTATGCCACTTCAGCAGTCCGGCGCACTATCCACTCTCCAACGCTTCGCGTGCAGTCCTGGAGGTCAGCCTTCTGGACTGTCACTGTGACGATGATCGACCCGAATACGACTACGGCTTGAACACCCCCGATGTTCTCGTCACTCTCTGGTGGCAGGGTGCAGGCTGGTATGACCCAGTCACCGGGGTTCCGACACCGGGGCTCCCAATGGGCGTGTTCTATCCTCCAGGGAAAGAGCCTCGCATTACCTCCCCGACGACCTGTCGCCTGCTGAAGCAAGTGCTCCACCCAAACCTCAAGACGCTCCGGCTCCTTTGTCCGTTGGTTCTACTGCGCCCTGAAACACCGAGCTTCATCTTTCCGAAGCTTTCAGCCGACCTCACGCTTCCGGACGACTTCAAGATGACGATTGAGATCAACTCGCTGGAAGACACCGAGTCTGAGGAGGCACGGGGGGCCCGGAAGGCATTTGCAACTTACTTGGGTGTGACGGAGGCCCAGGTGGAGATTGAAAGAGAGGGCAAGCAGACTCGTCCGAGTTGGTGGCCGCCTGTGTACTCCGTCTTCGTTTAGCAGAGCATGGGGCTTCAGTATCCTACAGTATGCCCGGATGCATTGAGCGTCCGCCTGGAGCTATGAGTATGGGGAAACGCGCAGAGACAACTGAACCCATCAAACGGCACTGGCACGTAGCGCCAGTTTAGTCATCGACGGCTGGCGGAAGCAATGGGCTGCGCCCCGAACGCCCAACGATCCCAGGCGCGTCACCGATCTGGAACTTGCATCTTTCTCATTGCCCAACCTCAAAGCGTTCTGTACGCTCAACCTCTAATCGTCCGGTAAGCCCAGCCGAGAACACTCCCTCCACGGTCAAAGCCCAGCTGACAGGCTTGAGACATGAGCTCGCATGGCGGAATCGACTTTCCTGTTCTCTGCCAGTATTTTCCCCACATTGTCGACGACATAATCTTCTTCAGCAGCACAGAGACTCATATCGCCCTCCGCCGCACGTGCCAAGTCGTGCGTCAATACGTCGATGCCTTGAGATGCCGCCAATTGCATGGAACCTCTTGGTTCCTCGACTCCGTGGGTACGACAATAGCAATAGAGGTGGATGCCCCTTATGACCATGACTCGGACGACCATGCGGACGACAATTCGACCATGGATTCGAACGTCGATGCGGACGATGGCTCAACCGAGGAATTGGGCGATGACTCAAGCGAGAACTCGCACAAGAATCCCGCCTATCAATCCGAACTGTACACATGGGCTCTCTACGACTGGGAGGACCCCTCTGTGTGCCTGCCCGGATTGGAGGCTGCACCTATGATATTCATACACAATCCTCCGCCTACTGCAATGGATGTTCTGTCCCAACGCGCTTCGCCCACAGTGTATGTGTATCTCTACCACAATTTTGCGCAAGCCTACTGTCCACTCGACAACTGCCGGCTCGTATTCATCGAAGTTGACCCATTCAAGTGCTTATGCAATCCTGCTCAGCCGATTGACTACAGGCTCCGCGCCCCCGAAGTCGTCATCAATCTGTCGCCGTTTAAGTCCATCATTCCCATCTACACAAGAGCGCAGAATCCTTCGCCAGACACAGAGGTTTCGACGAGTGAACTTCCTAGCCGCATCAAGACGCCTCGCCTCACCATTCCGACCTCCTGCTGTCTCCTCAATCAAGTGCTTCACCCCGGTCTCAGATTTCTGGAACTCAGAGAAGCTCTTCCGATCCTGGACGGCGAAACTCCCGCTCTTCTCTTCCCGAAACCAGCAGCGGGAGTTAAGCTTCCGGACACGTTCAAAATGGTGATCCAACCCTACTACGGAATGGTTACGTCGTCAGAGAAGGCCGTTGAGCTCAGGAACGCCTTTGCTGAGCATCTCGGTGTGGACGATACTCAAGTAGTCTTCGAGTACTAGTATCCCTGGCTGCTCCAAGAGCGCAAATGTAAGGACCCGCAGACTCCGTCAAGTTGCTGCCTGTGGTCTCTATAGGTTCTATTGTATTCTCTGATGAAGCACGCAGCCTGTGAACTTAGGGGCACACCTCTGCAGCACATCGATCAACTGTGGCTCGTGTGGTGGCGGAAGCAACTGACAACGCCCCTGCATCTCTCTAAACATTACATCTACAGCTCTTGCTCTTCTCCCTTCCACGACTGTATAAAGACCCCCCCCCCCCTGGTCACATCTATTGGGTCTCCCGTCCACAACCTCACACCACCCCTGTTGACTGAAGTGATTCCGTCCAAACCATGGGGTCGCGCGGCGGAATCGATCTTTGCATCCTCGGCCAATCTTTCCCTCACGTCCTCGACTCAATCATCCTCTTCAGCGACAAGAAGACCCAGTCCGCCCTACGCCTCACTTGTCAGCTCTTACGCCTCCACCTCGACACCTTTCGCTGTCGGCAACTCCGCGGGGACGTGTGGTACTTCACAAAATTCCAGTCCTTGGTGGCGGTTGAGGTCCACGACAGCTGTTACCCAAGCGCCCTTCCACAAGTTGCCTTATATCACTGGCGAAGGCCGGCGATACCACTGCCTGGTCTTCGGACTGCAATGTCCATCCACGCGACCAACACTCCGGCTGTTGCTATGGAGGCCGCGTATACAATGGCGGGGTCGGGCGTCGTTCCGCATCTGGACCACAGTCGTGGTCCAGCCTACTATCCATTGGACAAGTGTCCGCGCGCGGTCCTCGAGTTCGACATGATCGGGTGCTGCTGCAATACTGCCCAGCCAATTGACTACCGCCTGAGGACACGTGAAGTGACCGTCGACATTGCGTGGAGAGGCGACCCTGTAGCTAACTCCTGGCTGTACGAGCCCAGTGCCAGTGATGATGACGACTACCACTACCGAAGGAGGGCATACTACGACACGCCTCTTACCGATTGCAACCTTCTGAAGCAGGTACTTCATGTCGAGCTCGAAACATTGAGACTGGTCTTCCCGTTCTCTCTGCTGCAAGTCAAGGCTCCCGCCCTCATCTTGCCGAAGCTTCCGGAAGACTTCATACTGCCCCAGAGCTTTAGGATGACATTAGAGATCCACCGTGTAAAGGAGCCGTCGGGCGCCAAGTTGGGAGAGATCCGGAGGGAATTCGCTGAACATTTTGGGGTGAATGAAACTCAGGTCACCATTGAGTTGCAGCACCTCCGCTTGTACAATCCTTCCTGGTGGTCTAGCGAGTTATCAGATGGTACAGAAATGTAGAAAGTCATTGAGAACCGTTACATCAGGGATACAACTAACAGCACTTCTCACCACAGAGCTTCCTCATTTGTTTCAATCTCGAACTGCTCCCGACCAACAGAACAACGGTACGCCTCAATGGAGCAAAAGTCGACAGGACAATGACGCTTGTAGCCGATATACCGATGAATGGCGAACTGGTCCTCACACGGCTGGGACGAGGATCCCGGAGGGATATGCTGGTATGGCGCGGTGGCAGACTTTAACATCTGCTCCAAAGCTCCCACCACTGTGTCCTCGAGGTCTTCGTCGAACTCCTCCAGACCCAGGGACGCGAGCTCAGGTCGTTTTCGACATGAACATAATGCCGCCGGTTGATGCTTAGGGAATGCACCAAGGAACAGATTCCTCCAAGACACAGCGCGTGATATTTCAAGCCTTGTAGTGCTCTCTAGATGAAATTGTGAACAGCGTGCAGTCTGTGGATCACGGGGCACGTTTCTGACGGAGATCAATCCAACTCGTGCAGTGCGGAAGCAACTGACAACGCCCCGACACCTACCCACCAACAACTCTCGCACTTCCCTCCTTGAAAGGCGTACATAACACGAGCAACAACAACGAGTGAGCCTCCTCTTCCCTAACTCCGTGCCGCTACTGTTCATGTGAAGGCTGATTCTCTAAGAAACATGGTGACACACGGTGGAATCGACCTTTGCGTCCTCAGCGTGTCCTTTCCTCACATTCTCGACACCATCATACTCCTCAGCGACAAGAAGACTCAATGTGCCCTACGCCTCACATGTCACCTCCTACATCGGCACGTTGATGCACTCAGCTGCCGACAGCTTGAGGGGCTTTCGTGGCAATTCGCGGCATCTTTCAGTTATGCTCTTGCGATATTCGTTTGCGACGACTACGAAGATCCCTCTCGCGAACACAGTCAGTTGGCTTTCTATCACTGGGAGGATGCCTCAGTCTCGTTACCCAGTCTCAAAAACGCCCAGACAATTCACGCCATAAATGCCCCTCATGTCCCCACGGAAGTCATCTACGGCATGGTGCCGCCCCGCGTAACGCCAATCCTTTGTCACAGAAAAGGTGTGGCTTATTACCCGCTGGACAACTGCAGGAACGCAATCATCGAAGTCGATACCCGTGGTTGCTGCTGCAGCCCCGAGCAGCCGGTTGATTACAGAATCAAGACCAAGAACGTGACTATCCAATACATGTGCGAAGGTCGACTTCCAAGGGTCTGTTCGGATACGTCAAACTGCAATCTCCTTCAGCAGGTCTTTCATCCCCGGCTCAACTCATTGAGGCTGTTCTGCTATTTCGGCCTCCTGCAGGGCAGTCCTATCTCGTTTCCGCTTCCCAAACCAGCGGCTGGACACAAGTTTTCCGATTCGTTCAAAGTTACAATCGCCATCGAATGTGGAGAAGGTCCGCCGGCGAGGAGGGCTCAGAAAATAACGAGCGCATTTGCTGAGCTTCTGGGCGTTGGAGAGGCCCAGGTGGCCTTCGAGCTGCATCGCGTTCGCGTGCCGTTCTACGAAGAGTGGTCTGACGAGTGGTGATGAAAAAAGATGTGCATGGGATCAAGAACCGATACAAGACACACCTGACTAACACTTCTTCTCACCACAGAGCCCCCTCGTTGGTATCGATCTCGAACTGCTCCCTGCCCACCATGCAACGGTAGGCCTGAACGGAGTAAAAGTTGATGGTACACCGACGCTTGCAACCAGACAGCTCGGGCAAAATTGCGGCCAGCGGGTCAGCGCACGGCTGGGACGAGAATCCCGGCGGGATGTGCTGATATGCCGGAGCGACAGGTTTTGACATCTGCTCCAAAGCTCCCACTACTGCATCCCCCAGGTCTTCGTCGAATTCTTCCAGACCCAGGGACGCGGGTGAGAGCCGTTCAAGACCGACCACATTGATGCGCTTGGCGTAGGACTGCACCCCTTGCACAATGTCGAGCAACGTGCCGAGCACGTTCGGGACTGCTTCGGCAACGCTGTCGTACGAGACCTTGAGGTGCGCCCAAGGGTGCACAAAGATAGTGATGTCGTCCATTTCCGCACGCACCGACCCGTCCACCGATCCCGGATGGCGGAGGTGCAGCACCGCCTTTCCCGGGCCGCAGAGCCGCAACCGACCAATCTGCTCGAGATACGCTGTTGCCTTTGTCTCTGGCGTCGCGTTCTGAGCAAAGAGCACGATGCACCCCACATCAAGGGGGTAGCAGAACGTCTCGGCATCCAGCACAGCGTACCGAACTGTGCGATCGTTGCGCTGTCCCATTTCGGCTTCGTCCGTTTCGGCAGCAATGGGATCTGCTTCATAGAGATGCCTGAAAATGTGGTACTTGAACGCCTCATATGCTGCTCGTAGGGACGTAGTCTCTGAGTTCCTCTCAAAGAACGGGATAGGGAGCATGCTATGCGTGAGCGCGAAATGCTTGTGCGATGCCGCGTCGATGTCCACGACGCGGATGGCGGATGGCAGGAGCCCGGTGGAGCGAGAGGAGAACTCTTTGGTTTTTAAACCCAAGGTGAAGATGGTGCCCACGGATGGGTCACGAACTGAGGAGAGGCGCAGGCTCAGTTCGCGCACGCCCTTTTCGTCGTAGCAGGTGTACGTTGCGCGGAAGCTAATGTGACCCGAGAGAGCGGCGTCGGCGCGGGATCGCCACGAGCGGCAAACGCCACGCATGGTTTTGAGGGAAGCGGAGGGTGCAAAGGCGAAGAGGGCGTCGGTGATGTGCGGGTAGTAGTCGAGGTCGATGGAGGACATGGCGGATGCGGAGGTGTCGTGAGGGTAGAAGGACAAGTCGATGGTAGGCATGCCTGCGGGCGGACGGTGAGGGATAGCGTAGATGTTGTCGGAGAACAAACAATGGGGACGAGTATGCAGAGGGCTGCTTATGTATGCGATGCAGAGCCGCTGGCCACAATATCGGCTTGTGCCTAGCGTCCAGCCGCACGGAGACTTGACAAGCTACTGCAGCCTAAATTTCTGAAATTTCCTCGATATCAATCAGTTTGGTTGCCGAGTTTGCCGATCGCGCCTCCAGCCATCGGCTCATCACCAAGTCACACAGGAGCCGCTGCAACACTACCCTTCAACCCGCCCTTAGGGGAACGATAGGAAAGCTGCGTGGATTGGCGTAGCGTGGAAGCGCTATCGAGTGAGCGGTGCATGCAGAGGGGGCAAGCATGACCGGGAGGCAGGTGCTCTTCATAGCCGTCGGCGACCATCGGATTCTTGGGGGCCTGGCAAAGCATTCCTGGGGAAACTTAGAGCTCTTTACAGTCAGAGATACTTGAATATGAGCTATCAGGAGTAACTGAAAGCAGCTCTGCTCTCCGGGATGCATGTGCTATAGCTTCCTCCCTTCTACGCATCGCTCCTCGTGCCACCTCCACCAGCGCCCACCGTGGGAGAACGACGCCTCCACCTCTCCTGAAAGTCTAGGTCCAAGCGTCAGTGACGCAGCCATCCACATCATCCACACTTCCATCACCCACCACCATCAGCATCAGCAGCGAGGAGCCAAGGAGCCATGGGCCTGACGCCCACGCCAATGACGCTCGCGGGTGCGCTCCTCCCGCCCGCGCTCGTCACGTATTTCCTACGGGCGCACCGGCGTCTCTTGGGTGTGATATGTGAGTTCCTCCTGCCTTGCGTCTCTGTCCCCCCTCCTCTTCCGTTTGGATGGATCGCGGAGAGTAAACAGAGAGGCAGAGAGGGAATAGCTTCCAGATAGTTCAGATAGCTGACCGCAGCTCCGCTTGTCTGGGCCCAGTCCCCCGTCCTCGGCACACTGTACGCCATCGCCATACGCCTCATCATCGTCATCACCGTCCTCTTCCTAAGGCTGTACCTCCTGCCGCGGAAACAGAGCGTGCCGCCACCAGAGACGCCGGTCGAGCACGCCCTGGGAGAACTGGCGCGGGAACCCGATGGTCCGGTTCGTGTCTCGACGCTCTCCTCTCTCGGTCTGGACGCTGCTCAACTCCGACGACTAGCTGGCGGGCGAGCACGAGTATTAGGACGATATCTGGACGAAGACTCGGGCGACCTGGGCGGCGTGAACCAGGACGTCCTCGTGCTCCCCGAGTGGTGTGGCCGCTGCTCGCGTACCCGACCAGCACGCACTCGGCATTGCAGAGAGTGCGGCGTGTGCCGTATGGGTTTCGACCACCATTGCGCCTTCGTACGTACTACGTAACTCCAGCTTATCTCGTTGCAGCTGAGCTGACAAGACCCAGTTTGGCAACTGTCTCACGGCACCCTATTTACCCTGCTTCCTCGCGCTTCTCTTCCTCACGCCCGTCGTCGTCGTGCTGCTGAGCTTGCCAACCTACGCACCCCTCTACGCCAGGGGTAAAGTGGCCTGGACCCTCGCGCCGGAATGGTGGTGGGGCGCGTGGTGGAGCTGGATCTTTGGCGGACCCCTTGGACGTTGGATCGGCGGCATTGCGCTCGGATGGCGGGAACTGGACATCCTGGACCCGAGCGAGGAGAGCAGCGTCGAGATCGCAGCACTCATCTTCATCGGCCAGATCCTCGGCCTCATGACCCTCGTAGGTATCTTGTCCTCTTGCTAAGTGCTCCGTAAAGTGCTAGCTGACATCCAGGCGCTGGGGTACACGACTGCCTCGGCCCTCTCCCGGGGCCAATTCACGGTCGACCTCGCGCGGGCAAAGAGCTTCGCGCGCGATCCGGAACGCTTCGCGCAGATCACTCGGTTTTACACCCCCCTCCTTCCCGTGACACCGCTGGCGTCCCCGCCGCTGTCCACTGCGTCGCCTGTCTCCCCTCTTGGCTCCGGCTCGCCTGTGAAGGAACTGGACAACGGCTTCTACGACGTGCCCGGATACACATCTTACGGGAACGAGGTCGCCGGCGTGCTCGTTACACTGCGGGAGATGAACCTGTACGATACGCCGGCCACTTGGCGCTGGGTGCTTCGCGGCAAGGCGCGCTTCTGGCGCGTGTTAAGGTCCGAGTGGAGGGACGAGGAGCTCATGCACTGGCCCATTCGACGGGATGTGCTCCGCGACGTGCAGAGACAGAAGGAGAGATGGCTCCAGTAGGTAGATTCATTTTTTGGGCTTTGATGGATATGCACAAGTGCTGGTCTGGCACGACGGATCTGTGCCGCGCATGTTCTTATACGGCGACTGCAGGCTCGATGCCCCAGTTCTCTCTCCCGCGAGCCACTTTCCCTCGTCAGCGAATGCTTTCCAGCTGCCAACGATGTGGGAGCCGTCCTCGTTCTTCCTCGTTCGACACCACACAGCTGTAAGCAGATCACATCATGGTATATTCTTCTTCTACACACGTATTGAGTCAACGTAGCGTTTGACTTGCGCGGCAATGTGCGGCATAGAGGACGAAGAGAGAAAACATGGAGATTTGGCCGTCAGGTCGGTTGAGTTGACTTGGAGTGATGTTGTTACTGTACAAAAGCGACGGGAGATCGATTAGAGATTGGGTCGGCGGGTCATGGACGAGTTGTATCTGATTCAGAGTACCGCTAACAACACTCAGAAGAGATTACCTGGCGAGCGCGGTGTTTGTCTTAATCCGAAGATGGATTGGGGGCAGGATACATGTGACTGCACCCCTTGCACAATGTCGAGCAACGTGCCGAGCACGTTCGGGACTGCTTCGGCAACGCTGTCGTACGAGACCTTGAGGTGCGCCCAAGGGTGCACAAAGATAGTGATGTCGTCCATTTCCGCACGCACCGACCCGTCCACCGATCCCGGATGGCGGAGGTGCAGCACCGCCTTTCCCGGGCCGCAGAGCCGCAACCGACCAATCTGCTCGAGATACGCTGTTGCCTTTAATGGTTACGTCGTCAGAGAAGGCCGTTGAGCTCAGGAACGCCTTTGGGGGGGGGGGGGGGGTGAGCGAGGATAGAGTGCGTCGGGGTGAGCGAGGATAGAGTGCGTCGGGGTGAGCGAGGATAGAGTGCGTCGGGGTGAGCGAGGATAGAGTGCGTCGGGGTGAGCGAGGATAGAGTGCGTCGGGGTGAGCGAGGATAGAGTGCGTCGGGGTGAGCGAGGATAGAGTGCGTCGGGGTGAGCGAGGATAGAGTGCGTCGGGGTGAGCGAGGATAGAGTGCGTCGGGGTGAGCGAGGATAGAGTGCGTCGGGGTGAGCGAGGATAGAGTGCGTCGGGGTGAGCGAGGATAGAGTGCGTCGGGGTGAGCGAGGATAGAGTGCGTCGGGGTGAGCGAGGATAGAGTGCGTCGGGGTGAGCGAGGATAGAGTGCGTCGGGGTGAGCGAGGATAGAGTGCGTCGGGGTGAGCGAGGATAGAGTGCGTCGGGGTGAGCGAGGATAGAGTGCGTCGGGGTGAGCGAGGATAGAGTGCGTCGGGGTGAGCGAGGATAGAGTGCGTCGGGGTGAGCGAGGATAGAGTGCGTCGGGGTGAGCGAGGATAGAGTGCGTCGGGCTCGATGCGGAGTTTCAGCGGGTCTCCCTCTCCTTGCCTTTCCCTTTATCCTTCCATGACGCCCCGCCGGCGCCCCCTTGGCTCCCCGCTTCCGTGCGATGACCCGAGGCGTCCATCAGAGAGCCATCATCCTCACTGCAATCCAACATCACGATGTCCGCGTGGCCGCTGCCAAGCAGAACGATGTCGTCCTCCGAGACAGGGTCACTACTAACCTCAGTGATTTCTGGCGCCAAGACACCGCTCGTCAGATTGATGGCGCCTGGCCTTGGCCGAGCGCTGCTGCTCGCGCTCACCATACCGGGCTGCTGGCGGCTGGAGCCTGTAGTGTGTTGGGCCCTGTTGCTCGTCCCGGCAACGCTCGTCGAGCGACTGGGGATGTTTCCTGCCGGACTAGAATTCTGGCCGGAGCCCGACGCTGCCGCGATAGACCCACCGCCCAGAACCGGAGGGTTGGAGCTTTGCAGCTGGTTGACATAGGTGACGGCCGTATCCTGGGCTCTGTCAGCTAAATCCGTAGAGGGTCACGATTGACTTACGTGTGAGATGTGCTGCAGTTGTTTTATTGCCCATACAACAGGGCGGTCCGGGAGCTTCTTGGATATCTCGTTGGGGTTGAACATTTGACTCTGTTGACTAGCTCGAATCCTAGAAAATCGAGGTCAGCTTGGAAAGGTTGCAGCTAGATACAGTAGCCTTACTGATGCAGTACTTTCTCCTCTGACGGAGAGATGGCATTTGACTTGGGGTGGCCGGTATTCTTGGGGTCAAAGAAGAAACTGATTTCATCCCAAACGAATCCTGCCAGGCCTAAGGAGCGACCTGAGTTCTTCATAATATTGGCCACTTGTGTCAGCTGTGGACGAATTCGAAACGTACTGGTGAGCTCCATTATCCTAATGCCCAGGGTGTCATCCTGAGCTTGATGCTTCGTCCATTTATACGTTGTAACTCGCATTGCGCTCACCGCATCTTCTTTCCGTACCCCTAACTGCTGCCGAAGAGTCAGACTTGATTCCCTGACCAGAGGCAGTAGGAACTCACGCCGATGGCCGACACAAACGCCTGCTCTGCTGCTTCCGCATCGCTGTCCCTCTGTACCAGGGCCTCGTTCCACGTTCCGAGCCCTTGGAGGCTGAAGGAGAGGAGGCCATGCCCTTGCAGAAGACGCTTGGTGCTGAAAGGCTGGTCGAGCCAATGCTGTTGCAAAGTCGCCTGCTGATTTGGATTACTGACTCGCGGGCACGCTGGCTCTTGCGTGACGATGTCCTTCGCCATTTGCTTACTGGAACGAACATTAACCCAGCCAACCCGAGCGCCTAAACATCAGTTGGAGTGAACGTGAAGGTGTCGTAGGTTTGGACTTACCCACTGCGAAGCGACAGAAGGCGGCCGCCCCAATGATAGCCTTCAGTTCCCATCCCGATTTCCATCTTGCGCGCAGCTCCTTGGCCCTATCTTCGGCTTCAGGGCCGTATACCTTGAACAGGCTATGAAAGTGTTGGTCGGATGTGTCGATTCCAGTGTCGAGCAACTAGATAGTTGGTGTCCAATTGTGTTCGGCTTGAACTTACTAGACGCAACTCCGTAATTGCTTCCCCCATCCGTCTCCATCCTTGACGTTGCCCGTCCTCTTCGTGAGTACGACACCCGCCGCTGTTTATAGCCTGCAGCTCATCGAGGAGCTGACTGTGATCGTGCATCAGCTGCGCAGCACGAGTGAATATGCCGCAAACGTACGAAAGGGCGTCGTCGCGCTCCTTTTCCGGGACCTCAGTGATGCCCGCGCAGTTGAGCACACTATCATGGCTAACCTTCCATCCGTCGACTCCGGCAATGTAGAACACGACGAAGTCGCGGATGGGGTGTGCGTAGCAGGTTGACTCGTGCCGGAGGAAATACGCGAACGCGACCGGGCTCAACCTTGTCAGTGCACGCAGACGTGCCGCTCGGCGCTCGGCGTCTCTGTGAGAGTCAGATGCTATAATAGTACTGCATAAGAGCGCGAGGACCCACCGAGGCAAAGTAGTTGATGTACCGCTCATGTGTGAAGAGACACTGGGAGAGACCTTTCTACCGTGGAATGACGGGTCCAGTCTTTTGTACAATACCGCGCTGCAATCGGGGCTAGGCCGGGTAGGGCGGGGGTGGACGTAGCGCTGTAGACGAATACAGTAGTACAGTAGACGGTGTACGCTGCGTTGTCTGTTCGACGGTTAACTCCGGGAAGAAGAGATACGGTTCGACCTTAGAGCTCGCGGGTGGAGCATGTGGACCGAAGTGGAATGTGGGCGTCGCGCCCTTCTTCGTGCCCTCCACAAGCTTCCTGACTGGCACTGCCGTCGATCTGAGGTCTGCGGGCAGCCCTGCGTTCCTCTTCCCACGCTCTCTCCCGAGGTACTGAGGTAGCGCTGACTCACTGACTCGCTGGCGCCCCCTTCGCTCTGGCCGTACCCGCCAGACAGCAGACAAGGCAGAGGGGTAGCGCGGGGCGCAATTGGCGCAAACCACGCAGCTTCGCATGACTTTCGTGACCTTGCGGTTCTCTGGTTCTCGGAATCACATCCTCACGCTCATCACTGATCTCTACCTACCCCTTCCGTATGACCTGTTTTTTTTGGGGGGGGGGGGGGGGTTAAACAGACCTCGCTCACGCGCTCCGCACTCAGTTCTCCAGCTGTCAGCTTGTCGATTAAACGGCTGCATCGGCAGCACGCGCTTACTCTTCATGTGTCAATGTCCTCACTGACCTCCCTCATCCTCATCCATGATCCAAGTTCCTCACGTTTCCAAGATCCCGAGAGGCTAGAACCTGTGACCAGATCCCATGATCAGCGACAACGGACGATTGCTGAGGAGGAAGGGCCGCAGTGCTACAGCTCACTAGGCGGTGATCACGAATAGGGGCTGCACCGCCCCTATGGCCCGACTTGCTCGCTGATCCATGCTGACCTGGTGCAGGGTGCAAGCTCCTTTCCAATCACCCGACGGGGCAACTGGGCGTATGGGCATGGCAGATGGGTATCCACCCATCCCATACTGCAGAGACTTAATCCTTCCTCCACTCCCAGGAGGCGTCAATGCATTGGCGCATGATGCGCATGATAGCTCTAGTGCAATGACTGACCCGTTCACTGATCACTTAACACGGGTCATGAGGAGCCTAGCCGAATGCTGCTGCGCCACTTGCCGCTTGCAGAGGTCGAAGGCAATTAGCGATAGCGAGTCTCGTTGGATGGCCGCAGAAGCAGTCACCAGATACACCAGGTCACCAGATCACCAGCAAGTCACCAGAGAGCAAGGCATGTAGATCAGGGGCCCAGTTGCGACCCGCTGTGATCTCGATATCTTCAGTCACCTCTGAATATCTGAATTTTGAAGCAGCCCATAGCTTTAAACGTCGGGCAGTCCACGGGTGCACAAACCCTCTTCTCAAAGCGGTGGCCACTTTTAAGCCTGAGCTCGCCGATCCGACAAGTGTGAAACGCAGATGGCGGGGCTCGGGGGTTCGGGCACGTCTTAACGTCAGGCTGTGTGGTCTCGAGCCCTCTGGACTAGCTGCACTGCTCGTCTCCATTCTTCCACCGCTCCACGTTCGACCCTTGCCGCAACACTCTCTCCGCGTTCTCAGGTCTCTCCGGTGGTTGCTTCTCTCGCCCAGCTCTCTCCGGCTTCTCCGACCTCTTCAACTCTCCTTCTCTCCAACTTCTCCAGCCTCTCCCCCAAATCTACCGGCACAGTAATCCCAGTCTTCCCAGCTCCTTTACTCCCTACATCTTCTTCACTCCCTCGACCTCCCTTACCTCCGCAGCACTGCCCGTATCTCGTATCACCCGCTATCCTCCCTCTACATCATCATCTCCTACCGTACCACTACCACACCACTGGCCGACTGCAACTGATCACTGAACTATCACCATCCGCATCGACGACTGATGCCGCGCACGAACAGCGGTCGAACCGTGTTCCTTCCCAACCCGCCGGGCTGGGCGGGGGCGACATTACCATCCCACCCGGCTGTGAGTGCACTTGCGATGCCTCGACTGACTGTCTCAGACTACGCAGGGCTTGACCGTCGACCCGGACGTTCTCAACTTCTATCCTGAAGAGGTAGAGAAGATGGTGAACCCGAATATGAGCAGGATAGACGCTCTCCTGGTAAGGGTTCTCCTCTCTCCTTTCCTCATCACATCCTTGAGCTGACGCTGGCCATAGTCGAAGGTGCCCGATCTTGGGATCCCGAGCGAGCGATTGATGTTATAATGAACAAGGTAAGTCCTGATGAGCCTGGAATCTCGAATCCAATTTCTCTCACTTGTGCGGTCCATCAGCGCCATTGGTCAACTCAGTCCTGACTCCGCAGGCGGAACAGCGAGAGCGCGAACGGGTATCGCTCCGGGGCAAAACCGCAGAGGAGATGATGGACCAGCTCACTGCGGAAGCTCTTGCGGAGATGATTGATGAGGACGAAAGATTGTACGAGATGGCGGTCCAGGAGAAACCGAAAATCGGGCAGGGTTTCAAGAACGAGGCGAAGCTCAAGCTGGAGAATGAGGTCAAGCTCGCCGAAATGCTCCCAGAGTGGGGGAGACTGCCCGACGTTGTGCGCAGCCAGACTCGGCGCATCTACGCCCACGCTTTGCACCTGACGGAGACTCCGGAAACGAAGAACAGCTTCATTCAGGTGAGGATCATACAACTGGGCCACAGTGGGACTGTGACGCTAACTTCCAGTTCGTTGAGGAGTACAGGGACCCAATCGTAGCCATGCTCATTACTCGAGCCAAAGTTCGGGGAATAGTAGCCATGTACGAGTAAGTCTTTATTTACTTGCAAAGGCTGACATCCACAGGAAAGATGACTCTGGCTATCTTGTCCCCGCTTTCTGGCTCGGCTCGTTCGGCCGGTTGGTTCGCCTAAGGGTGCCATGCCGGGCTGGTCCCAACGGTGAAGTCGAAGCCGTGTTCGCCTACTTGTATCACGCACTTGATTGCAACCCCTTAACAAAGTTTATTTTTGAGGGGTGAGTTCTGGATCCAGCAACTCCATTGCCTTTTTGCTGCGTCGAGTTCGAGCTGACCGTGTCAACAGATTGAAGAAAGGAGTAAACCTAACTTATTACCGGTTGATGCTGTTCCTGGCCATGTTGAGTTGGAAGGAGAGCGACGAGTGGCGCGACTCCGACGACCAATGCGTGTACGCGCTCACGCCCTCCGACATAGACAAGAATGTACTCCAGCGTATTCTGGAAGAAGGAGTAGAGACAGCATTCTCACCCGATCTTGTAAGTTCTTCTGACCGTAACACGCGCGAGCATTCAACTGATTCTCAGTTGTGGCTGTATGCAGGTCTGACTCTCATGCTTGCGCGTCGTGGCAAGCAGCACCTGTCTGAGAGTGTGAAACCTGTGAACCGTCGTATGCGGGCAACGCGCGGTAGGTACCGCCGTTTTGTAAGATCAACTCTGACTATTGCAGCCTCCTTTCCCAACTTGAGTCGCTGGACTTTGGCACCCGTCTTTGCCTTCGCCGACCCGATTCCCATGTTGCCGCTGCATTTCTTAGAGCACTTCGTGCTCGCAGCTTTCGGGTGCACGGATCTCACGTCACGCGGGATCAATGTGAACCTGTTCGATTCGTTTACTAGGGAATGCCTGGTGACTAGCAAGATGGTCCTGAAGATTCTCGTGGCTGTCGAGCGCCTTCTGGAGAAGTATCCCAACTCTGGTTATTGTTGGCCCATTGCCGATGATAAGGCTGCCTGGGACGCCTTCCTGGAGCCTGCCTACCCGGACGGTATTCCCTGCACACCCGTTCGCATGTCCATCATCCTCAGCGGCGTGGAACGCTCCCACCTTCACTCCCTCGTGGTCATTCCCAAAGTCACAGCACTCTGCGAGCGACGTCGCACCGGAAGTTTCTCTCGCGGAGACGACGATACCATGATGATGATTCCTACCTCGTTGCAGCATCTCAGACTGCACAAGACACCAGCGACACCATCCTTCTCGGACTCGAACCCGGCCAACATCCTCCAAGATCTCTGCAAGGCCTTCCACCCACTGCTGATTGAAGAACTAGCGGAGAAAACGACATCTCGGGACCGCCCTCGCGACCGCACGAGCCCCCCTACCCTGGAGTAGTACGTAGAATTTCCCCCATTGCGCCCCATGTTTGTGTAGTCTCTCAAGCTCTCTATGTACGTTCCGCCACGAACATTTCGCCGCGAGCACCGTGGCCATATGTCAATAAACCGCACCTCGTTCCTCTCTTCTCGATCTTCCTCGTTGCCCTCCAACAAACGACTACCCGCTACATCATCCTTCCCCCTCAACTCGTTGTTCATTTCATCGCAAGGAAGTAGACGGCCACGACACGCCCCACTCCAATGCCTCACCAGGCACAAGCCGTCACTCCGTCGTAAACAGCAGACTCATCTACCTTCCGCCACCCAAATCTCGCCTTCCCTCTAGGCTCACGGCCATCTCGCGTTCTCTCTGGACTTTCTACCACCTCTCCATCACGTCTCTCAAGTTCACACGATAGCAAAGCACCTGACGTTCTCTCCCCTCTCTTGAGACCCCCATGATTCCAACCCACTTTGGCCACTTCGTGATGGAATCGTTGTGTATAGAGCTTTTACCGTGGCACCAAGTCATCGCCGGCAGGGTTCTGTTTGGGTGTTTCGTCGCGAACACCATAACCACCTCGACGCTCGGCTCCTCCAAGACTTCAACACCGGGTAACATTCCGAAACTCGCTGACACCGCGCCTGCTACTTGTCTCGACAATGGCGGAATTATACATCAAGCACTCGCCGCCGCCGGCTTCAACGTTGACTACTTCCGTCCCCACAGCAGCCGGCTTTGGGTTCGCGACGTGTCGTTGGCCAAGGTTCTCGGTGTTATGGAATATTCCATGCATGTTGAGGCGGAGCTAGAGCGCGTGCGAACTCAAGGTGAGTCACAGCTTCAGGAGCGCGCTGACGCTTAAGGCGGGCACGTTCGGGCCGCCTTGACAAAATCGTCGGCGGCTCCTAGTGGCCAGGATAGGCCGAAAAGTCTCGGCGAGTCTGTGGTTACCATCCCTAACTTTTGGGTGAGTTGAACGGCATGTCCCCTGTTTCTCTGACGTGTCAGCGTCCCGCCGTGTATCGAGCCCTCGCAGAGAAGTTTGAGACTTTCCCCCCCAAAACCCAAGATTCCTCCTACGCGGATCTACTCCTGGCGTTCAACAACGCCGGCGTTGTCGTTCCAATGGGCGAGGAGTTAGACAGCCCCTCCATGAGCATCCACATCTGCATCGACGCCAAGAACGCATGGCGTATAATACAGGATATTATCCGCCTTCACCACTTTCTGCACCCCTCCTCCACGTACTACTCCCGTTCGCGGCGTAGGAAAGAGGAATTCGTTCCCGTGTCCAAGCTGAGCACATTCGACTGGACAAGCATTTTCGACCCGCCCTACCTCAATTACCTCGATGCTCTCGACTCCCTCATCCCTTTCTCGGCTCTTACGTCCGTTCCTAGCAAGCGAAAGTTAGGCCCCAAGCCTAACACCGCGTCGCGCCGTCAAAAGAAGGCCCACACCGCCAGCAAAACCGCCAAGACCCCTAACGCACCGGATACCGATGCTATCTCTGTGGGTGTGTTTGCAGCTGGCCCGAGTGCCGGTGCGGGCAGCCAGCACACCGTTAGCTCGTCTGCCCTCGACCATGCCACCCTATCTCGTGGCACGAGCCGCAAGACTCCGTCGACTTCACCACGTACCAGCGACCAGCCCAGCACGACCTATGACAGCGACTCGTCTGACGTTGTCGTTCTCTCTGGTCCGCCGCAGCCTTCGCCGTCTCGCTCGAGCTCCAGTGGTTATACGGGTAAGGGAAAGGGGAAGCAGAGGGCGTAGCGGGAGCACAAGAGCTCATCCGAGGACTATGTGTCGAGATGAGCGCAAGTCTCCTTGCATCGGCAGAGTGAGAGCGCGAAGAATCCCGTCGGCATGATCAAGAAGGACAACAGCAAGAGCGTTCGAGGCGAGAGAATGTGCCAGGTGCCCCGAACAGCTTAGCGAGGATCAAGCTACGCTCTCGAACTCTAGCCTGGTATTGTTGCTTGTCGTGCGGCCAAGGGCATGCAGCACGGTGAGGAGCAGGTGGCGTGCTGCGAATACGCATCAGCCCGGCGACGTCTTCTTCAAGTTTTCTGCGCTCCCCTGCCCGTTCCTAGACCCCAGTCTCCGGTTCCTATCTCCCGACCGCCCGCCTCCCCCCTCTCACAGCCCAGCACCTGGCGCCTCCCCCGATCCAGTCCACCATCCCATCACCACCATCCACCACCATCCCACCACCATCCTCGTGTGACTATCACCAACTCTGTACATCAACGAGCACCCCAACACCTGATCATCCCGCACCGCACCACCGGTCAATATGACGCGATTCCGTAGCTCCAACCTTCCGCCTGACGCTAAGCTCAACGTCGTTATGCGCTCAACGGGTGCGCCCCGACTCGTACAAACGTCTGCTGTGTTATAGTTCCAGGGCTCGCGTAGAGCTTTCATGCATGTTTAGTTCATCTGAGCCACGAGACAAACCAGCAACAACACCGCTCTCTGATGTCGTTGCCGCAATGGCCCAACGCTGGGGACGCGTCTGACGAGGTCTACGGATACAACGAGGTCTCCGCGATTGACGAGGTCGACGCGGCTGGCATGTTTCACGCGTTCAGCACGTTCGGCGCGTTCGGTACGTTCTGCGCATGCGCCGCGTTCGCCGAGAACGCGCGCTGGACTGGACGAGATCAATGCACTCCGTCATGTCTGACGCGTCCGGACGCCTCGAACGCGTCGTCGGACGCGGCGCGACGCGACGCGTAGAGGGGCGCACCTGCGCCCTGCTACGCGTCTGCATTACGAGCCCCATCTCGCGCATCTCGTTCCTCAGGCTATTACGCCCTGCACTAACCCAAGCAGTCGCATTCTCCGCTGTACGCTCGAGAATCATGCCCCAATGTTGTTGCAGCAAATGCCTAGGCAGTGCCTGGAAACTGGTTGAAAATAAGGGAAAAGAAAGCTCATGCTGGTGCCACACTGACACGCACCAACCGCGGCCAGCCCCATGCCGCCGGCCGATGCCGCCTACGTTGCGTTCCACTCCGCCTTTGTCTCTATCAACAGCATGCTGGACACGTAGCCCTATACAGAGAGCCATGTCCTATGTCCCGTCCGCTCCACCGCCGCTATTGTTGCAAAAGTTATTGTAAAAGTATACATGCTGGTGCTGGCGCTTGCGCGTAGCGTACGCGCGACAAGTTATCCGACAGCGCGTCCCCTACCGTCCTGCAGCGATGCCGAATGCGATACTCGCCCCCAACCACACGCGCAACCGTAACCGCATCCGTAACTGCGGCCGCCAGCCACCAAGAATTCTAACTACACTCCGACCGCCGTGTCTCCCGGCTCTCCCGGCTCTTCCGGCTCCTCCGGCCAACGCTCGCAACGCGCTGCGCGCCTCGGCGCGTCTGCGCCGCTCTAATCAGTGTCTGCAAAAAAGAACGTTCCATTTTGCTTTTGCTCTGTGTCTTTCAGCGAGCCCAGCTTGTTGATGCGAGGACGGTAGTTGCCCGGGTCGCGACGCTGGGATGTTAGTGATGTGTAAGAAAGGGTTGTAGGTGGAGGTGACTGAAATTTTGGTTCCGCCGCCACACTCGACCTCCACCAGGCCTCCACCTCCACCGCCACATTCGGTGGCACCTGTGCAAGAAACGTCCTCGACCTCTTCGACGAGATCGACAAGTTCCCAGCTTCTGCAAGGACAAAATACTCACGAAGGTCACTTGGAGACTTTTCAGGAACTTATTGAACCCTGACAGCAGTCCCTCGGGCTTGTTGGCCTTGGCGGAGACGGCAGGGGTACCCTCGAAGACGATGACACGGTCGGCGAGGTAGGTGGCCATGATAAAGTCGTGCTCGACGATGAAGGCGGTGCGCTTGGTGGACATGATAAACTTCTTGATGACGCGGGAGGCGTGGATACGCTGCTCGGAGTCGAGGTAGGCGGAGGGCTCGTCGATGAGCAGCACGTCGGCGGGGACACCGAGGACGAGACAGATGGCGACACGCTGGAGCTCTCCTCCGGAGAGGGTCTGGACGTCCTGGTCCATGAGGGGCTCGAGGTTCATGGGCTTGATGACGTCGTTGTTGAACTGGGGGTTCATGAACATGGCCTTGATGCGCTTGAGGAGGAGCATGCGGACGGTGCCGGGGAACTTGGGCGAGATGGTCTGGGGCTTCATGGAGACGCGGAGCGAGACCTGGTCGGCCTCGTTGTCGGGCTTGAGCTTGCCGCCGAGGAGCTGGACGAGGGTCGTCTTGCCCATGCCGTTCTCGCCGAGGAGGACGATGATCTCCGAGTCGGAGAACTCGCCAGACTCGACCTGCAGCTTGAAGTTGCCCAGCGTCTTGGTCATGGCGGGGTAGGCGATCGACTGCGTCTTGGGGGCGGCGACTTCGTCGGCGCTCTCGCCGATGCGGAACGTGAGCGACTCCTCACGGAAACGCAGGTTCTCCGTCGGGATGACACCGTCGAGGAAAATGTTGATACCCTCACGCACCGAGTACGGCATCGTCACGACACCGTACATACCGGGCACACCGTAGAAGACGCACACAAAGTCGGACAGGTAGTCAAGCGTCGACAGGTCGTGCTCGACAACGACAATGTAGTTGGTCGGCTGGACGAGGCCACGGATCACGCGCGCAGCGGCAAGACGCTGCCTGATGTCCAGGTACGACGAGGGCTCGTCGTACATGTAAATGTCGGCCTTGCGGACGGACGCAATGGCAATGGCGAAACGCTGCAGCTCTCCTCCAGACAGCTGGCCGACCTCGCGGTCCTGCAGCTTGGCGAGCTCGAGGTCCTCCTCGAGCTGCTTGCGGTTGTCGAGCTCGGTCTGGCGGTCAAACATCTTGCCGACAGTCATGTTGGGGATCTTGATCGAGCGCGGGATCTGGTCGACGTACTGCGGCTTGGTCACCGCCTTGATGTCGTCCTCGAGCACCTTGGTGAAGAAGTTTTGCAGCTCGGAACCACGGAAGTACTTGATAATGTCGGTCCACTCGGGCGGGTTGTCAAACTTGCCCAGGTTCGGCTTGAGCTTGCCCGAGAGCACCTTGAGCGCGGTCGACTTGCCGATACCGTTCGTGCCGACGAGACCGAGAACTTGACCGGGACGCGGCTGGGGCAGACGGTGGAGCTTGAACGCGTTGGCGGCGTAGCGGTGCGTGACGTGCGTCTCGAGGTTGGTCGGCAGGTTGAGAATCTGGATGGCCTCAAAGGGGCACTTCTTGACACAGATACCGCAACCGATACAGAGCTCCTCGGAGATGAACGCCTTCTTGTCCGACGGAGTCACCTCGATACACAACCGTCCCATACGGACGACGGGGCACGAGCGCTTGCACTCCTGGCGACTGGGGGTTAGCTATTGTTCATAAGCCTCGATGTCTGCTGCGTCATCGCGCGTTAGGCGGTGGTTCTCACCATTTCTTGGGCTTGCACTGGGAGAGTCAGCTATAACAGTCATGCGATTAGCTCACCTTGTCGTCCGAGACGAGCGCGATACGGGTGAGCTTGTCAGCCATGTTGAGGGGAATGAGATGGGGAGGGTCGTGTGTAAGGGGGGTCGAAGCTGTCGACTTTTGCGTGGCAAGCTAGCGGTTCAGGAGCGAGCTGCCTTTTAGAGATGCACCGGTTGAGGTCGAGTGGGGAGGGGTCGTCGGGAGGCGAGTGGGTAGTCGCTGCTCTGGACGGTCGTCGACGCCGGGGATGCTTTGTGTGCTGGAGATGGACACAAAACTTGGATTGGGTCTTTTGTTCAGGTCCGTGACGCTGGGTCCGAGGCAGCGGCTGTGGTTTAGAAAATTGCCGCGTGGCGATTAGCGGGGGTAAAAGTGAGTAAGCAGTTTGACGCGCGTCCTTATTGCATCCAGCCTGATGCGGTGGCGGGCCAATGGCTTTGGGTGGATTACGGGTCAGTCGAAAATGTCAGGCGATGAGGCGTCACGTGATGTCATAATGAGGTGGCAATAGCCAGTGAGGAGGGGATGTGGCCCCACGTGGGGCTGTATCACGCTCCAACCAGGGGCTAGGGGCGGTTGTGGCTGCCGTATCGCGCCGAACGACCCGATTAATCCTCACTTTGAAATCGGGTGCACAGCGAACGGGAACGATCCACCCACCGAACGGGAATTCTGCAGTGTCCTTCCCGTTCGACTGCTCCTCCATATGCAATGCCATCCATGCCATCAATGCACGTTTCATTGTCACCGTCGTCGCCGCATCGTGCAGTGCGTACCTGTGCATCACTCAACTGGGCGATGCATCCAACACTATATAATGCGATGCAACAGTGTCGGAAGATATAAACTCATACCGCACAGACACTCACACGCTATCCCATTCCTCGGAGCCACCGGCCACCCCACAACCACCGCAGTACATCCACCGCAGTTCGACCTGAATTTTCCAAAGCCAGCCCAACTTTTGTGTGGGATTGTTGTTGACACACATACACACACAACCTCTCTCTCTTCATCCTTCCTTCTCACACTCCCTTGCAATGTCCAACGACACACAGCTCAAGGTACGCCCCGCCACCCTCCATGCATGGCTAACGCCCAGCGCGTGCTCGTCACCGGTGGCCTCGGCTACATTGGCTCGCATGTCGTCCTCACCCTGCTCCTGTCGGGCCGCTACGTCCCGATCGTCATTGACAACTGTCACAACGCGTACCCCGAGGCGGTCAAGCGTGCCGCCGAGATTGCGCGCGATGAGATGGGGTGAGTTGTGTCTGGGCTGCATTGCATGTGTCTTTAGCAGAGCGGCATAGGCAACGTGCAACAGCGAAGCTAACATCCAGGGAGAAGGCGGTCCAGCCCATCTTCCACAAGGTCGACCTGCGCAACCCCGCCGAGATCGAGGACGTGTTCGCCAAGTACGACGCCGAGGGCGGTATCTGGGGCGTGGTGCACCTGGCGGCGCTGAAGGCGGTGGGCGAGTCGAGCGAGATCCCGCTGCAGTACTACCGCGTCAATGTCGGGGGCAGCATCACGCTGCTGGAGACGATGGCGCGGCACAACTGCGACAACATTGTCTTCTCCTCCTCGGCGACCGTGTACGGCACGCCCGAGATCATCCCCATCCCCGAGTCGTCCCCCGTGCAGCCCGAGAGCGCCTATGGCAAGACGAAGGGCATGGTCGAGGTCATCCTCCAGGACGTGTGTCGCTCGGGCACCGACGAGCGCCCCCAGCCCCTCAAGGCCGTCAGTGTGCGCTACTTCAACCCCGCCGGCGCGCACCCGAGCGGTAAGCTGGGCGAGGAGCCGCGCGGCAAGCCGGGCAACCTCCTCCCCCTCCTTGCGCAGATGGCGGTGGGACGCGAAAAGTCCGACCTCAAAGTGTTCGGAAACGACTACCCCGGCAGCCCCGACGGCACCTGCGTGCGCGACTATCTGCACATCATGGACCTGGCGCAGGGCCACGTCCTCGCCCTTGACGCGATGGCCGTTCCCACCTCGGACCCGTCCAGCATCTACAGCAGCTGCGATCCCAAGAAGGACGGGCTGTACCGCAACTTCAACTTGGGAAGGGGCAAGGGCCAGAGCGTGCTGACCATGATCGAGGCGATGCGCAAGGCCACAGGCTTCGAGTACAAGTACGAGGTCGTCGGACGCCGTACGGGCGACGTGCCCGAACTCACGGCCGACCCCGCGCTCGCGGAGAAGGAGCTCGGATTCGTGGCCAAGAGGGATCTCGAGGAGATGTGTCGCGATCTCTGGAACTTCCAGACCAAGAACCCGAATGGGTATGAGCCGAGCGCGTAAGCGCGTAAGCGCATGACGCGGAGCGCAGCGACGCGTCGGGCGCGGGTCTGAATGCGCGTGGTCTCGCCTCATCTCTCTCCGTCACCTCTGTGACTCCTGCGCCGGCGCTGGACATGGTGACAGCGCTCCATCTGGCCGAAGGCGGGACCACACCGCACCCACGATCACCGAGCGAGACGCGCATGCATGCTCCCCGCATGCTCGCTGATCGCTCGCATTGAACCCTTTTACGTAGAGATCCATTTAGACGAATAGGTAATACCCGCCGCGCGCGGCGGGAAGGACATGTTAATTGTGACACTAGGCCGGTGCTGCGAGCTGCGAGCTGCGAGGGCGAGCGCGAACTCGGCGCAAGCGCGACGCGACACGGCGCGACACGGCGTACGCACAACGCGACTGAGGGCAAGAGTCTTGACCTGTCCGCTGGCGAATGCAGTGCGACGCGAGAACAGCGAGAAAAGCGAGCACAGCGCGGAACTGTGTCGGGAGAGGGCCGGGGGAGGGCCGGGATATCGGTGGCGCCACGCCTCAAGAGGATGATAGGAAGAACGCGGACTGGTGGGACCTTGATGCGGGCTGATGCGGGTTGATGGCGCCTGATGAGGCGTTCTCGCTTGTTCTGTTCTCAGTGATTCCATGCTGGTCCGTCTGGAAGACCTCAGAACGCGTCGAACGCGTCGAACGCGCCGCGCAGGCTCTGGTGGCCCCACCTGTTTCTTCGCGCCCAGCGTCGCCCTCCGTCAGTTCATGAGAGTCCCACTTCCAGTCCAACCCCTTCCCCATCACTCCATTCTCCCCTCTGTTGCTCGCAGCAGCCCGTCATAAGCCGGTCATAAGCCCGTCGGAGTCATCGTGATCCATAAAACGTAGTCCATAAAGACATGTAAATGTCGCTACTCATAGGTGACCCGGAGTCATCGCTTGACACTCAGCCAGGTTGTTTTAAGCAAGTAGAGGTTTGTTCTTCGCGCTTTGTCTGGCCTCGCTGGTCGTGGAGCCGCAACCTTCAGAAAGAAGGGGGCACTGTAGAAGCACCAGCAAGGAATTCGAACGCGGTGGATAAATTTTGTGATTGAGTGTTGCATTCCTGCTGTGTCTGTTTTATATAGTCGGGGGGAGGGGCCGGTGGAGGTCCAGCAAAAAGTTGGTGCGAGCGCAGAGTATATGGGCGGGATTATTTCAGACGACTTTTTCGAGCGTTTCATCCCACAACGCCCGGGAAAGATGGACGGAACCAATTAGTTGGGTCGAGGAGAGAGGCACCAAGTTGCAGGCCCGGAGTAAAAGTCCATCGATCTCCGCTACTTGCAGCTAGCTACACCCCCCACCACCGTCTTCGACCCCGACCGACAGCATGTCGAAGACGTTCCCGCAGCTGCTCGCGCGCAGCCGGTTCGCGAGCTACGATCCGGCCATTTCGCGCGTCTACACGGCGCCGCACCGAAACGTGACGCGTGGCGACTTTGGCTTCAAGTTTCCCATTTTCCGCCCCAGCAATGCGCGCTTCCTCGAAATGAGGCAACTGGACGGCGGTCCCGGTCTTCGGGCCGATTGGCGGAGTGCGGAGAAAGAGGCGCGCTTCGTGGCCCAGTGGGGAGACGGACGCACGCCGTGGCGGTCTCCGTCCACTTCGCGCCGTCATGTCGTCAAGAACCCCCTCCTGGCCGAGACTAGCGCGACGGAAGAGGTGACCGAGCTCATGCCGAACGTGGACGCTATGACGAACTCGGAGTTTGAGCGATACTTGGCCGGATTGAGGAGACGGAGGGCCCAGTTCCAGGAGGCTATCAAGGCTAGCTTGCCCGAGGGCACCGAGACGCTCGCCGAGGCCTCTGCGCGCGGTGCGGTGCGCGAGCAGGCCATCACGGGCTTCCAGGCCGATCTCCTCAAACAACAGGTCGAGGCGCCGGGCTCGACGCGCGTGATGGCGAAACCGCACAAGATTGGCGGTCTCGCGTACTCTGCCGCCCCCGCGGCGGGAGCCAGCCTGGACCCGCAGCGCGTGCACGTCGGCCGCGTGCTGGACCAAGCGCCGCGCGGCGCCGGCAGCTTTAGGGGCATCGACGGCGTCAATGCCGAATGGGTCGTGGGCCTCGGCGGCATCACGGCCACGGGTAACTCTGGCACGGTGCGCGTCACAGACCGCCCGACGCTGAGCAAGTTCGACTACACGCGCGAACGCAAACATGCCGGTCTCGCGCGCTTTGCCGTCCGCGAGGCCGCACTCCACCGCCCCCCGCGCGTACTTGGCACGAATCAGCGCGCCAACGTCGAGCCGTTCACGAACCGCTCCACTGAGGCTCGCAGGATCCAGCCGTTCGACTCGATGCGCTTCGAGGTCCGCGTGCGCGAGATGGAGCCCGAGAGGCCCGGAGAGGCAGAGTGGGTCGCCCGCGACACTAAGGCTACGGCGGCCGTCGGTGCGGGAGGTCTCGGCCTGCTCGGAGGGAACAGGAAGGAGAGGAGCGCGAGCGAGAGTCATCAGGCTGCCCGTCGGATCAACTCCAAGATCCAGGGTGACACTATTGACTCTATCCTCGCTAGAATCATTCAGAACGATAGCAAGTAGACCCCCCCACAATGCATTTTTCATAGCCATCTCTCATCAACTGTGTGGCATAGTTGTCCCTAGGAATAATTCACGGGCCTACGGAAGTCTCGCTGCGCTCGACTGCTACCTTGCCTGCTCGTGCGGCCACAACCTCGCTCCGCGCACCTCCTCAATCCTCACGATACCAGCGTACCCCCCCGAAGCGAGCCAGCCCGCGTGCTTGATGCCATTCGCATTCTGCCACACAGCCCGGTGCAGGCCGACTTCCCGATCCCACGCCGCCGTCTTGACGGCCGCATCGTCCCGGTTCTCGTCCTTGCGCTTGTTCGTCGCCTCGATGGTGGAGTGGTCGGGCAGGAACGCGTCGGTTACGCGGATCGTACCCTTGAGATTGCGCTCGGGGTCGGTGTCAATCTTCTCGTCATAGTCCACCTCGTACAGGCGCACATAGAACAGGCCGACACCCTTACGACGGAAGAAGCCCGTCGCCGCGCTGCTGATGGTGAGGCCGCCGTCGGCGGCTGCGGCGGCGACCATGGGGTGGTAGTCAGAGCACCCGAGACCGAGCACGGGTCCACGGTTCGGCGCGAGGATGAATGTGCCGGGGTTACTTGCGTTGCGCAACTGCGCCATGACGACCATGTAGTCGCTGTCAATGTAGAGCGGGGCAGCGTTCTGCGGCGACCACGAGACGGACGAGCAGGGGACTGGATGTTAGCTTAGATTACTCCTTCAAGAAGCTAGGGGTACTCACTTCTAGACCGGCAAAACGTAATCGTGCCCGCTGGATCGCGCAAATCGAGCAAGCCCGTGCTCCCGTCGTAGCTGCTGAAGACGACGAGGTAGGGATCGGAAGCGTAGTCTGGCTCTCCCTCGCTGTCCACGGGAGGGACACGAGCCACGTGAATCGCCGAGATCGCCGCGAGCGCGACAGGCGTGTAGGTGTCGGGCAGTGGGGTCTGGTCACCTTCCTTCAGAGCTGTCAGGATGCTCCACGACCCGATGTGGCCTGGGGTTAGCTTTTCGGACGATCCCCAGCATACCATTCGAGAATCCAACAGTAAGACGCCCGCCGCTGACCCAGTCGAGGCACATGGCCGTCGCGTCGTCAACCTCGATGCGGACCATGGGCTCGGCTTTAATGTACACTCGCTCTGGGCCGGGTTTCGGAACAGCGTACACGCAGACGGAGCCGTCGAGCTGCGCCGCGGCAAGCACGCCGAGCGTGTTGAGGTCCTGTGTGTCAGCTGAGCGCATTTCGACAGCTACATGTCCAGAGAGCAAACTCACCTTGACGCCCACGGGCATCCACTTGACCGCGCACACCTCGGCCTCGGTGCACAGGAACACCTGGCACTGGCCACCAGCCGACCAGATCTGAATACTCCCCGGCGTCGTCGTCCGTGAGCCCATGGCCGGGTCGCTGGCACAGGTACTGACAGCGACGTGCTGGCTCCCCGCGGCCCAGTCGAGGCCCCAGACAGGCGCACCAGCGTTGAACATGACGCCAGACGAGGAACCACTGGCGGCGGCTGAGGTCAGCTGAAGGATTCACGCATCTGCAACTTGACGCTGGGTCGAGGTAGGTGTGACTCACTGAACTTCCTGCACTCCAGGAGGGGAAGACTCTCGCCCTCAGCCTCGATGCCGTACTGCATCCGGAGTTCAGAGCCGGGGACATGTCTCCGTCTGTCGTCAGCGATTGCCCTGTCGAACAGCTACTCACCCCTCCTCCTCGCTGATCGTGGTTTGTTTCGGAATAGGCACATCGATGTGGACCTCTTCTCTCCACCTCCATCCCTCGGGCAGTCCATCTCCCTCTCCGTCTCCAGCAGCTCCTCCACCAGCTCCGTTGGTGGTACCCGCAGCCTCCGCTCCGTTGGCTGCCTCTCCGTCGCCTCCAGGCTGTGTGTACATCTCCGGCACCCACCCCTCCCCCTCCCAATTTTCCGGCGGGGAAAGCACACCAACGCGGCGCGCGAGGTCGCGAAATCGCTCCCTCCTCGCGCTCAACGATCACGCGTGCGAGGCGGGGATCCTTCCATCCAACCTGTGCCGCTTCCCTCTCTCCATTCTCTGCTTCGGGGCCATCCACATCCATCCCCTCGCCCTCGGCGGTCTCATCCCAGGCCAGCGTTGAGATGAATGGACTCGGCCCACCACACGGAAACACACCCACCCTCCCCGTCCCTGTCGTCCCCTTCCCCGGAGGCCTGGACACGTTCCCTCCGGCACTGTTCAGAATCCTCAATTCCGCCGCGCTCAGTCCGAGACTGTTGCGCCCTCCCAACGTGCCTTCTGTAATCTTCGCCTTGGTGCCGCCCGGCACGCCGCGGGGGCCGGCCGCCCGGCGCGGCGTCTGTTTCGGCGTTCCCTTACCACGGGCAGGCTTCACGTCGTCCTCGGACGGCGGGTCAAAGTCGCTACTGCTGCCGTCGTCGGAGACGACGGACGACGGCGCCGAACCGCCACTAGCGGCGGCGTAGTCGTCAGACTTGTTGGCTTCCGAGTCGGAACTGTCCGGGTCGTAGGTTGAGGCTAGGGCGCGGAGCTTGGCGCGCGCGGCGGCTGTGGCGGCGCGGGGCATGCTGGGTTGCTATGCTTCGGATGAGGAGGAAGGACGGTGGAAAAGGAGGGAATGAGGAAAGGTGGAGGTCGCGAGGAAGGTCTGTTGATAGTGGTGATCGGGTCCTTTTGGTCACAATCTCGGTCTCGACCAGTCAGAATGTATCGATGAGACCGCCTAGACAGCGAGCTGTAACTCAGAGCTCTCCCTGCGGCGTGTATCGGGTTGTTGGACGTTGGCTGGGTGGAGGATGGATGATAAGATCTCCTTGAACCGAGTTCACAACAAATCTCGATCATGGACGTCACTCCACGCGAAGATGCCTCCGCTCTGCACTTCGAGAGCATAAACAAACATTTCTCTCGCCCTCATGTCACATTTCTGCGGGACGCTGCGATGCATGACCTCAAGCTGAGCTCACTGGTGTGCATAACCGGAATCGGGGGGATCAGGTGCTGCGAGATATGCCTGCGAGATTGCACACACACGCACGATGTCCTCATCCCGTCGTCATCCTCAGCATCCGTCTCTTCGCCGCTGCTCTCGCCTCACTGACGCCCGCTACTGACGCAACACAGACTGCGCGCTCGCTGCGCTCGCTTCGGCCACTCTCGCTCGGAGTAAGTAAACTGTATGCATGTCATAACACTCAAAGGTAGTCGTGGGTATACTGCGCAGCCTTGCAGCCTGCAAAGCGCGCATAAAAGTGAATGTCCGGTTGTGTTGCGTCTATGAAGCTCCGAGGAACTGTACAAGGGATGGGTAGAGGGGCCAGCTCTGCTGGCCAGGGGTCGTCGCCAGGCGATGGTCGGCGGATCATGCGGAGAGACGTGCGCGCTCGCTGGCACGAACAGTCTCACGCACTCTCACACGTACTCGCGCAATCGCATATGAGCGTCCTCGCTGCGCTCGTACGCTTACAGGAAGATCGCGGCGAGACCCGCGGCAGCCAGAGCCGCCGGGGCGGCCACAGCGGCCATGGCGGAGCTCTTGGAGCGCTTCTCGACAGACTGGACCTGGGCCGGGATGAACGAGCGGCGGCCGACGGTGGATCCCGAAGAGTTGGTTCCGGTCAGGACCTGGGTCGGGAGCATGTTGGGCGGCCTGGCGATGAGGTACATGGGCGGGTTCTTCGCTCCGTCAAAGGCCTGGGTGATGAGCGCGAGGTTGGCGCCCTCCTTGGGCTTGGCCGGGTTGACGCGGACCTGGACGTCCCAGCTCTTGAACGTGCCCTTCTCGTTGTAGTAGTAGACCTGGGCCTCGGTCGTGCCGCCGCACCGGGTCTGGGTCTGCACACGTCCGTCCGTCGCCCACGGCGTCATCGTGATCGTGTCGTCGTCGTTGATCTTGTACTTGCCGTGCTGCCACCAGAGCACGGACGAGATGCAGAACGGGTCGGACGCGTTCGACTTGTATCGGTACTGCGCCTCCTCAAAGAAGCCGTCGGCGGTGCTGAGGGTTAGCTGACAATCGGCGAAGAGCAGCAGGTGCATGGGACGAGCAAAATGTTGACCAAGCGATGGCGGCGCGATTCACAAGGAACGAGGGTCACTGCCAACAAATGCTTGCCGTGTTTGTCCCGCTAATTATCTGCCAAAGCGCTCCCAAGCACCCGCTCCATCGATATACTCACAAGGAGTAGCTCATTCCCGTGTTGTTCGGGACGTTGAACAGACTTAATGAGGGGTTGCAGAAGTCGCCGCCGGTCGAGACATAGTTGGTTCCAGAGGACCAGGTGCCCTCCAGATTGGCCATGGACAGGGCCGAGGCGGGGGCGACGAGCGCCGCGATCACAAGCGGAACGGCGAGCATGATGTCGAGTGTCGGGAGGGGGGTTGGATGGGTGATGTAACAAAGGAAGAGGTGAGAGGAGGGGCGGGGTCAACCCGGGAAAACGTCTGCGGTCTGTGGGTGGGGTGTGCGACGTTTCGTGGAGTGTGTAGACAACAAGAACGGGGCGGCGCTCGGTCGGTTCGCTGGCGGAGTCGTGGACGAGTCGGCGCGCGGATTAGGTGGTAGGTTTTGATGGGAGAGAGAGGACGCGGAGCAAAGACGTAAAGAGGAGAGAGAGAAGGACTAGAGAGGAGGGGAGGATTAGAGGATGGAGCAAGAGTGTGTTTCGTGAGATGGGATGTTGGGCGTGGTATTCCACAGCATGCACAGTGCTGTGCACTTGCGAGTTGGCCTCGTTCTTCCTTCCCTGTGCCGCCTGGACCCTGCTGCCCTTGTGCCCTTGGTGTCCCCCTTTCACGCGGCCAGGCACGCAACAATCCCAAGTGCACCGCACATAGAGCGGGACCAGATTTTCGCGCCCAGCTGTTAGCACCCTCTACCCACAGTCACACTCCCCTGAGCCTACAATTCGACCCGCCACACTCCCACACCCGCCGTATCCCCGTCAGTCACCCTTAGGCGTGCGCAAAACAACCAAGGCGTGTGCAGAGGCCTCGTGCCTATTCGACAAACGCACGCCTACACCCCTGGTCCCACGACCCACGTACCCGCCAAGCGGCCCAAGCTGCCAAGCCGATCGGCACAGGGCTCCCCTCCTGCTCCATGTGAACAACTAAGCGTGACCGAGCGCGCCTGTTCTTGATCGATGGAATGATGTATGCAATGCGTTTGAGGTCTTCTACTCTGTCTCTTTGCTACAGATGTACTACTCCTTCTTAGCCATGGCGTCCTCGAGCTCGCCCGGCGCCTCCCTCTTCTCCCGCTCATAGTCCCGCAGCCAGTCAGGCTTGGTGTTCTCGAGCTCCCGTGTCAGTTTCTTCGCCTCGCCCGCCAGCTCGTCCTGGTACTCGCTAAGGGGCATCTGGCTCGTCCCGGTGGGTCGGAACACGGTCGCCGTACCCTCGGCGCCGTCGGCCATGTCGCGCATCGCCCGCATGGCGTGCAGCGTCGACGCAACGTCGACCGCCTTCTCCATGAACTCGCCATTTTGCTCGCGCTCCGCCCCCGTCCACCGCTGGATGCGCGGGTCGGACCAGTTCACGGACGGGTCGTCGTGCGCCACCGTATAGGTCGGAGAGGCGGGCATGGCGTCGCCCACCGCCTTGGGAGACATCCACTCGCTGAACGCCTTGCCCATGGACTGCTCTGGCGTCGCTGTCAATGGGCGGGACATGACGGGGAGCATCAGGTTGGCCGTCGGAAGGAAGGGTGCGGGGTTCACGTAGTAGTTCCGCCGCAGGCGTTCGGACTGCTCTCGCATCTCACCCGGAGGAGGGAAGGAGATGCGACAGTGGTTGGACTGACGGTCAGCTTGTGACAGGGACTGGATTAGCTGGACACTTACCGCCTCGTCGTGCGCATCCATGACCATCGTGAAGGAGCGCTTGTCCTCACCCGAAGTGACCTCAAACTCGGCAAGGTACAAGGGGAAGTAGATAGGATAAGCCGCGAGCTGCTGTCAGCTAACGATGGCACTACCACAGCTTAAATGCCTGGATAGTCAGCCACTCACCATGATCTCCTTCCACTTGTTGGCATCAATAGCGACGCCGCCAATCTCCGTCCGTCCAATGCGTTCGCGAACCTTGTCCACGAACCGCATCGGGTCTACCGTAAACGGCACCTCAACAATATCGTGCCCGGGGATCTGGTTCAAGTCCCTCTTCCTGTCATACGTCGGCAGGTCGTCGTTCAGCGGCGGCACAGCGTAGGAGAGGTACGACAGCGGCGCAAAGGGGTTGCCCGGCACGTAGCCCTCGCGCACGGCCAGCCAGCCGTCCTTCCCCTCGGGACCGTTCTCGGCGATCGCATCAAGCCGCCACACGGGGTAGTATGCCGCCTTCATGCTGCGCATGTTCAGGGAGGAGCCGAAGCCGAGCTCCTTGCCTAGCGTCTCGACGGCAGACCCGAACATTGTAATGCCCGCGGCGTAAAGGACGTTGGCCCAGGAGGCTGAGGTCAGCTATACCTCGATTCCTGAAGCTGTCCAGCTCTCTCAACGAGGGGAATTTGGTTGCTAGTTCTCCGTAGTTGCTCTGCGGTCCAGAAGCAGAGCGGTGACGGGAGTCCGAATTCATACTCACCACTGGCAAGCAGGCCGTGGGTATACAGCCTGTCGCGCGCATCCGGCCACGATTGCGCGAACGGGACGACGCAGATCTTCTCGCTGGGTGTATCGGCACGAAGCGTTGAGGTCGTCGCAAACGTCCTCCGGCGAGCGACGAAGCGCGCCCTAGAGACGAGGGAAGCTCGGCTTGCCAGCATTGTCAGCCGAGTTTGTTGTCGTGTTGTTGTGGTCGAAGTGAGTGATCAAGCTCTCGCAAAGTCGATGAGGTCACTGGGATTCGACATCCGTCATGTCCGGTCGCCAGTCGGCACATTTTGGTTCCGTTATCTCGAACAGGTTCGGTGGCTGCTGACTGTTGCTGGCGGCGTCCTCCACTGCGTAACCAGCCGGCGCTGAAGTATTCTTCGACCACTCCTCGCTTCCCTCTGATGCATTCGGTGCATGCTCTGAGCACCAGAGCGTGTCTGATGGCCACATCGTAACCCGACTGAGACAGATGCATAGAGTGCGGGACAGAGCGACAAGCAGAACATAGGCGCAGCGGGACCAATACGAAGGCTCGGCTTCCCCACATTCGGTGGACGTCGCCGGCAATGAGCGGGCCCGGAGCGTGCCCATCGCCTATCCCATTCTCCAAGTTCTGATCCACCCTCCCTTCTCCACTCATCCTCCTTCTCTCATCACAACCCATCCCAAACCAAACCCAGTTCGAGCAATGCCCGTGGCACAGTTCGGACGCCCCGCGCCCGTCCCCGCCCAGGCCGTCCCGAGCGCCAACGACGATGCCGAGGCGAGCCCCGAGCTCTGGGCCCAGCTCCGGCCCGACGGCAAGAGCGACCGCGTCGCCGTTGCCGTCGAGTGGCCGAAGGAACGCCGTCTCGCTGGGGCGTGTGCGCCCAACCTCGTCGTCTGGGTGCGCAAGGAGGTGAGTGTAGTAGCTATTCTGTGTTGTGCCGAGCTAACGCCAGACATCATCAAGCAGCAGCTCCAGCACCGAGCCCCGACTCAGCATCCCGCAGCACCTTCTTCCCTCCTGTCTCCCGACCCCTGCTTCTGTTCTCGTTCACGCCCATACGCCAGTCAGCCTGAGCCTGGTCGTCCTCCAGCCGTGCGGGGAGTACGAGATCGACGCCTCGGACCTGGAGCAGTTCTACCCGAAATCCGACCTGCCGAACGGCACCGCCGACGACGACGACGATTACGACGACTACAGCGGCGGCTACTACGGAGCGCCCACCTCAGCAGTCCGATTCGCCGACACGAGCAAGGCGGGCACGATTGTGCGTTCGCGCGACGTGCTGTCCCTCGGGGGCGGACGCAGCGTGCGCGTCCTCATGACCGAGCCCGTCGCCCAGGGCCTCGTCGACAGCGACACGCGCGTCGTGCTCGCGACCCGGCCCGAGATCCCAGAGGAGCCCGAGGAGAGCGGATCCGTCGCGCCCTCCCACCGCTCGCTCGTGGAGGAGTTTGACCCCGACGCCTTCCTTTCCTCTTCGCTTGCGCTCAGCCTCGAGCGCGACGAGGGCGAGAACGAGGGCCTCGAGGCCGAGGTGTCCACCAACAGCGGATCGCTCACCCCACGACCAGGCGACAGGCCGCTCTCGCCTGTTGCTGCGCCCGATGACGTGCTCCAACTCGACGCCGAAGAGGGCGGCATGGCCTTTGTCGCTGTCCCCAGCGCCGGACCGTCGGGCGTGGCGGGCGAGGAGGACGTGTGCTACGCTGGTGTGTGGGCCCTGGGTCGCGCGGGAGTGTTCGAGGGCGACTGGGTGCTTCTGAAGGCTGCCAATGGCGCTCGATCCCGCCTCTGCCGCGTCGTCGCCTGGGAGCGGCTCGACAGCGAGGACGCCGCCCTTCCGCCAAACGCGCTTCTGGTTCCTCCATCGGTGCAGCGTGCGCTGTTCCCCTCGCCTACCGCCCGTGCCGAGGTCATCGTCTCCCCTACCCCCTTCGGAGCGCGGGAACCCACTCTCCCAACAGCCCGGAGCATGACGCTTGCCCGCGTCGCGACGGCCGAGGGAATGGACAAGCGCTACGAGCGCTCGTGGATCGTGGGCTTGAAGCGTTTCTTCGCCGGTGGCCGTCTGATGGTTCGCCGCGGGGACGTCATCAGTGTTCCCGTCTGGGTTGGCCGGCCCCTGCCCGAAGGCGAGGACGTGGACGACAGCTACACCGGCCGCCCAACGGCTCTCGCTTACTTTGTCGTGACTGCTATGAACTTTGAGCCCCTCTCCAGCCTCGAGGAGGACTTTTCGTGCTCCGTCGCGAGCAAGGCGCGAGCAGGCGAACTTGGGTGCTGGGCAGATGCCGGGCCTGGAGGCGACACGGCACTGGTGCTCGCTGGCGCTGAGCGTGCCCGTGTCACCGGCCGCGGAACCGATCTAGTGTGGCACGGTCTGCCGGCTCCTCCGCCGCCATTCGCCCCCTCCTCGGCTTCGACGCTGCGTGATCTCGTCCGATCCGCTTTCTCGTCGCTCTCGCTCGCCAAGTTCCCGCTCTCTGTGCTTGTCAAGGGTGCCCGCGGAGCCGGCAAGCGCTCCCTCGTCCACGCCGTTGGCGACGAGCTCGGCCTCAGCATTGTCGAGGTCCCGTGCTATGACATTGTCGGCGACACGCCGCAAGTCACGGAAGGAACACTCCGTGCCAAGCTCGATAAGGCTCGCGCATGTGCCCCCGCCATTCTCTTGCTCACGCACCTCGAGGCCTTTGCGCCTGCGTCTGGTGGTGCATCCGCCCCGAAACCGCCTCCCGCCGTCAAGGTGCTCGAGGACATTCTGAAGAGCGCGCGCCAATTCGGTGCCGAGAACGGCGTGCCGCTCGTCCTTGCGGCCACGACAAGTGACAGCGATAAGGTGCCGCGCGACATGCTCGCTGTGTTCAAGCACGAGATCGCCATTGCGGCGCCGAACGCGACGGAGCGCGAGGCGATCCTGACGACAGCGCTGGGAGACACGCCGCTCGCGCCCGACGTCAGCGTGTCGCACGTTGCGGCGCAGGCTGCGGCGCTGTCTGCCGGCGACCTGGTGTCGCTCGTCGAACGTGCGCGCGACGTGGCGCTGAAGCGTGCCGCCTCCTCGCTCTCGCCGTCCGACGCGCTCCTCGCCGGCGTGCAGCTGACGGCGGCCGACCTGACCGCCGCGCTCGGCGTCCCGAATGTGTCCTGGGACGACGTCGGCGGTCTCGCGGCCGTGAAGCAGGATATCCTCGACACGGTGCAGCTGCCGCTGGAGCACCCCGAGCTCTTCGGGGACGGCATGAAGAAGCGCAGCGGTATCCTCCTCTACGGCCCGCCCGGTACAGGCAAAACGCTCCTCGCGAAGGCGGTCGCGACGTCGTGCGCGGCCAACTTCCTGTCCGTCAAGGGCCCAGAGCTGCTCAACATGTACATTGGAGAGAGTGAGGCGAACGTGCGCCGCGTATTCGAGAAGGCGCGCGACGCGTCTCCCTGCGTCGTGTTCATGGACGAACTCGACTCGGTCGCGCCCAAGCGCGGCCAGCAGGGCGACAGCGGTGGCGTCATGGACCGCATCGTGTCCCAGCTCCTGGCCGAGCTGGACGGCATGTCCGGCGGCCGGGGCCAGGTGATCGTCATGGCAGCGACGAACAGGCCGGATCTGCTCGACCCCGCCCTCCTGCGTCCGGGCCGTTTCGACCGGATGCTCTACCTCAGTGTGCCCGAGACGCACAAGGCGCAAGCCGACGTGCTGCGCGCGCTGACGCGGAAATTCACCCTGGATCCAGACCTCAGCCTCGACGAGCTCTCCGAGCGCCTTCCCTTCACGTACACGGGTGCGGATCTCTACGCCTTGTGCGCAGACGCAATGCTGCGCGCCATGACGCGCGCCGCGGAGGCGGTCGACGCCCACGTCGCACACCTCGACAACACCCCCATGCCGCGCAGCTTCCCCAAGCCCCTTACGCCACAGTATTACCTTGCGTCCATGGCGCAGCCGGAGGAACTCGAAGTCATTGTGCGCGAGGACGACTTTGTCGAGGCCCTCGAAAAGCTGCAGCCGAGTGTGAGCAGGGAGGAGATGGAGCATTACAGGCAGGTGCAGCAGCAGTTCAAGAGCTTTGAGATTGGCCAGTAAACTGCCGGGCGAGCGGAGCGAGCGAGGCAGAGCCAAGTCGGGTAGGTAGTGAGAGCGTTGGCCCGAAGTAATGTGAGATAAGATAGAGGCCGTAGAGCAAAGTATCATCTGAAGAGTCTAGGTTTCCACATGCATATTGTCATCAGTCCGCACCAGAGGCATAGGGTATGCGTTTGCATGCGTACAGAATCGTGTCTGGTGCTCAGGACATCAATTACATCTACCTTCTCATCTCCCGTTTGCTGCGGAGCCTCTCGCTGCTCTCGCTCCGCTCGAGCTTCTCGAGCAGCTCGTCTACTCATCCATGAGGTCAATAAAGCTCGTCGGGCGCGAGTTCTGCGCACTACCCGGGGGCGGCGCGAGCGCCTTGATGGGCGACGCGGACGGCCACTGCGCCGGCCCCCTCTGCGCCGCAGCATGCACGAGCTCAGCCGCCGGCGCATGGTCCACCTTCCTAGGGCTGCTGCTGCCAGACCCAGCCGAGGCGGAGAGGTTTGCCAGCGCCGAAGCCGAAGTCGAGGAGGGGAAACCCACGCCCGAGTTGCCACTAGGCGGAGGTAGACCCGAGACTGGCGCCGCAAAGTCGGCAAAGTCCCCGAAATCGTCGCCGAGGAGGTTCTCCTGTTGCGCGGGTTTTGGCTTCGACGTACCCGGCGGCGGTGCCAGCGTTGGAATCGCGAATGACGACGAGAGCTCGATGGAATGCTTCATCTGCGCTGGGGGGAGGTGTTTCGCCACGCCAGCCTTCGGCACACTGATCTGCGGCGGGGGCGCCTGCCGCGTCTTGCTGGGCGTGCCGTGGCTCTGCTGCCGGTAGGATGGGGGCACAGAGGACTTGGACGGCGGTGTTGGGGCGGCGCTCTGGATCCGCGCGGGCGTGGCTGGAGCTGCGGCTGCGGTGGGCGCGGCGAACGACGTGAAGTCGCCAAAGTCGCCAAAATCGTCGTCGCCCGAGGTGAAGGTTCCGAAACCCGTTTGCTGGGCGGGGGCGGAAGTTGGAGCACTGAAGTCCCCAAAGTCCCCGAAATCGCCAAAGTCGTCGTTGGCGGACTGTGCTGACATGGGCTGAAGAGGTTTCGACGGCGCCATGGGGGCCATCGGAGCCATGGGCGGCATTGGCTGGGAAGTAGCGGGAGAGGGGGACGGCGACGGGCTCGGGGTAGGACGCAAAGGCTCCATGCCCGCTCCGAATGGCGGAGGTGCGGTCGCCACCTTTCTCTCCGGGCTGGGGCTGCCGACAGCGTTGAGCTTGCCGTATCCCGTGGGGCCCTTGGTGAGCTTTCTCGGCTGCGGCGGAGAGTCCAACGCAGGCGAGGCTGGTGACAGAGCAGAGGGAGGGGGGAGCGCGCTGATACTACCGCGCGCGGGACCACTCGGACCATAGCGAGCGCGCGGCGGGAGGGCAGCCGCAACACCGCCGAGCCCACCGCTCGGGCCATAGGCGCGCGCCGAGGGTTGCTTCTGGCTCGAGATGCTGTCGCTCGTTGCATGAGTCGAGATCGGGGAGGGCTTCGGCGGCGACAGGGACAGATCGCCGAAACCAAAGTCGTTCGACTGGCTGACGCTAGACTGACTGAGGTGTGACGGGGCGGGAGGCTTCGTGTCAAGACTCGACTTGGAAGTCGACGGGCGTGAGGGAACGAGGGAGGAAAAGGTGCCAGTCACAGGCGAAGAGGCAGGTGGCGTCGGCGTAAGCGTCGGGAAGCCAGCGCTCATGGGCTCGGCGCTGAGCGGGGAACTCGATTTTGGCGGCGCACCGAGTGTCGGAATGGCTGGAGAGGTCGACTTGATGCTGGGGAAGGTGCTCGTCGTCGGCGAAGGCTTGGCAGGCTCGAGAAAGTCGTCCCAGAGCGAGCTGCTGCTACCTGTGCTCGGCTTGCTCGCCGGCGGCGGGGGCGCGTCAAAGTCGAGTCCACTGAGGAGGTCCGTCGCGCTGGGAGTCGGCGCGTGAGCGGGCGCCATTCGTGCCACAACCCCTCCAGAGTCGCTTCTTCGCGGCGCACCAGGTGGCGGCGCCAAGGGTGCAGGCAGGGGGACGGCCTTGGGCGCATTCAGGACCTGCTCGAGGTTCGCCGTCGGGCCGTCCATGCCGAGAAGGTCAGCGGACCCAGGCGGCGTGTGGCTGGGTACCTCCGCGAGGAAGGCAAAGTCGTCCGTCGTCAGCTCCAGGTCCTCCTTCGCTCCAGCGGAGCTCGGCTCCTCGGGCGCCTTCTTCTTGCCCCAGCCGAAGATGCGTGACATGCGGGATCCTTGCTGCTGAGGCGCTGGCTGCACCGTAATGGTCGGTGTGCTGGCCACAGCGTCCTCGGGTATTGTCGGCGTTGCGCTACGGGCTGTGGGTGTTTCAGGTCGTGACGAGGTGGCAGGTGTCGGAATGGACGAGATGGAAGCCGGTCGGCTCCCTGCACTGGGCCGAGAGGGCTCGTCGCTCTTCCGCTCCAGCATGCCACCTCCGCTTGTGACGAGCGGCTTGGGTGGCGCCGCCTGTTTCCGCCAAAAGCTCCACCTGCTCCCTTGGCTAGACTCGAGGCTCGGCCTGCTCTCGGCAGGTACGTCGGGCTCGCCAAGCCTGCTCCTCTGCGCCCATCGACTCTCCAGTCCGGGTCCTAACGGCCGTCGGCGCACGTTCGGCGCGTACAGGAGCGAACTCTGTGGGGTCGGGTTCGGTCGGGCGAGAGCACGCGCGAGCTGAGCTCCAGTCTGCGTCTGCAATGGCACCGTCGTATCCGGGATCACGGTGAGTGAGCGCAGCGTATCGGCTGAGTGCTCCTTCAGCGCACTCGCCGCCGCGTCCAGCTTCCGCTCCTCGTCCTCAGACACTGTGGGTTCGTTGTCGCCCAACACGGCAGCAGCAACGCCATCCCACTCCTTCTTCAGCGACTGAATCTTCTCAAACGGAGCCAGCTCGTCGCGCAGACGCATCTCAGACTGCGCAATCTCCCACTGTTTCTCCTGCCGCGATGGCGACGGCGTGTTCTCACGTTCTCTATCTCGCTCAGCAACAGCGGCGCCCCATGGCTCGTCCGCACCGGTACCCCACGGGTCGTCGGAGCGCACGCCGCGTTCGGGGGAGCCGAAGCCGCCAAAGTCGGACGAGGGAGACATCGAACGGCGCACGATGTCGCTCGCCTCTAGACCGGCAAGCCCGAGAGACGTATCCCGTGGCGGCTCCTTGACCATCAGGGTGTCGAGGTCGGGAAGCTTGTCGTCGTCATCCAGATCTCCGAGAGCTGCTCGCATTGCCGTCTCTGGGCTGGGAAAGCCACGGACCTCATCTTCCACGATCGGCTTCGGCGACGGGCTGCGCTGTGGCGAGATCACGTCGAGCTCGCGCTCCAGCGCCTGGCCTGGCGAAGGGGGTTCTTCCTCCTCTTCATCCTCCCTCTCTTCGTTCAGCTGCGGGGTCGTCGTTCGTGAGACAGCGACGGGAGAGACGGTACCGGGTCGCGAGAGCGTGAGTGACGGTCGGGCGAGGTCCTGGCTCATACGGGCGACGACGTCGTCTCCGCCCCACGCAGCTTCCACCGACTGCTCGACAGCATCAGGCGAAGGAGACCTCGGGAGGGGAATCTGCAGTGGGGACTTTGGCGGGCTCTTACCCAGGGTCGGCGATCCCAAGCTCGTCTTGCCCAGCGTAGGAGAGGTCGTCGGCGAAGTCGAGGTTACCGGGGGAGATGCCTTCTTCGGCGTCGCGCCCCACTCGCCTCCCCATGACGGCAAGGCCGAGTCGAATGTTGGCAGCTCTTCTGATCTCCTCGGAGCCAGCGCGTCGAGGGAAGGTAGGTCGGGAGCTGCGCTGGGCTTGGGCACAGGCGGGCCCCAGGGATCCACGTCGTCGTCTGGCGGAGGGGAGAGGGACATGCGCGGCGGCGCTGGGGACTTGTTTCCCTTTGCCGCCGGGGTGGACCACGGGGCCGCCCAGGGGTCGTCCATGGGCGGCGTATGTTCAGTGTGAGGTGGGAGGTTAGCGATGAGTGTAGTGCTGGACGTGTTCCAGGATCCAGGAAGACGATGGCCATCACTGCGGAGGTGGAGGTATAGGTCCCGCCGATAAGTGTGCCTGAACTTGGGACACGGGGGTTGTTGTTGAAAGAGCCAAGGCCCGTTTTCTGTTCTTGGCCAACGTCGGCTGCACTTGTCTTTCTCACCTCTACCCATTTCGAGACGACAGCAAACACCCCGAGGCTAGAAGCATCATGCCAGACCCAGCACCCCCGAAACGAGACCGCAACATTGCATCTCTGCGCCTCGCCCGCGCAACCTCGATCGACACGACGGGCTTCCCCGCCCCTCGGCGACCAGCCTCTCCGACGACCTCACAAGCGGGCTCGATTAACGAGCTCACGCGGGCAGTGAGCCACCAGCCCTCAGCTGGCCCCAGTACGCGGCGAGCGAGTACTTCGAAGCCAAACACTTCCAGACGGACGGAGCGCTGGGTCGAAGCGGCGTCCGAGTTTGAGCTCCCCGATACCCCGCGCCGGCTAACGAGCGGCATGCGCAAGTCGTTCGCAATCGACGAGGGAGATGACGATGAGAGCAAGGAGGAGATGGACGAGGAGGACGACGTGGACCGGTTAGGCGGGAGGACGGTCACGTTTGCCGACGAGGATACTGTCGAACTCTTGCCGGATGATGGGATGCGGCTGGAGGAGTTTGAACGGCCACGAGGGAGAGAGATGTTCGCAATCGTTACGAGCTGCACTGTGCTCGCAGTGCTTAGTCTGACAGCCGGCTTTGCTACAGTGTTCGACTGGGTTCTGTAGGCGGGCTTATCGATTCCGGGGCCCTCTTCTCCACCTTTGTGTGTTCTCGTTTGCCAGTTGATGCCGGTGGGCATAAGCTCTGCTTCTGCACCAACACCCCCTCTTCTCTCGACCGGCCTCTTCATCTAGACGAAATCGTCCTGCTAGACTCTCTTGTTGTATTCCTTTACTGCTATGTTATATTCCATATCAACGATCGGACCTCGGGCTGGGGTCAGTTGGTGTCTGACATGTACTCGCACAGCATCTTTAATATCCAATGCAAATGCATCTCCTAGACACAAGATGAATGAGCTCTATAAGCTTTTAACTACCGCCATGCAAACTCGCCCCCGAGAGCGAGACAGTGCGCTCCAGCACCTCCCCAACAGTGGGATGGACGACGCTACTCCTACTACCCCGCCGACTCTTCTCTCTAGTGAGGGCACGAGCCACAGGCTGTCCCATCCGGGGCAGATGTGTCGGCTCGCCATGCTCGAGTTCGTCTTTGTGCTCCTCCTCGTCGTCATCAAACACGGGCGCGTGCTTCGATTTGCGTGATGATTTGCGGCTGGGCTGGGCACTGTGGGCACTGGGCTGTGTAGCAACCGTAGGTTGTGGCGAGGCAGAAGACGTCGGCGGCGCCCCAGTGAGACCAGTATGCGAGCATCCCGACCTCACGGACGTGTGGGAGATATACCGCGCAATGTCGGCGCCGGCCATGGGCCCCGCGACGGCAGCAGCCTCGATGGCGGCCTCGTCGGGATCCTCGATCTCTGCCGCCTGAGCCGCGTTGAGCTCTCCCCTGCGCTCCTTCTCCTTCAGATCCGCGCTTGGCGCCAATTCGCCCGCGTTTCCGCCCTTGTCCCCCACCGCAATGTCGCGGGGCACGAACGGCGTGCCGTCCATGTTCTTCCCACTGCGGCGGGCCGCATTCTCGCGCCACTTCTCGCCCCACTTGATCGTGAGCAGGATACAGCCTGCGCCAAGCCACGTCAGGCCCGCGGCGACCGTCATGGTCCATCCGGGGCCGATCCGATTCATCATCGGGAGCACAAAGGCGGATGCGCCAGCTGAGCACAGGTATCGCGCGAAATTGTTCACGGCCAGCGCTTCCGCGGACCGTTTCTGCGCCGCGTCGACCAAGTACACGTTGATGGGCGTCAGGGCGAGTTGGAACCCGGCGCCGTTTATGGCCAGCAACACTATGAGCGGGGCTAGGCCGCCCTTGTCCGCCCACATGAGCCAGCCGTAGATCACCGCCGTGCACGGCGCCACGACGGCGGTGCCCAGCATCGCGGCGCGCAATCTGTCTTCAGGGCGGCGGTAGCCCCTCTTCACGATGTAGCGCTTCACCGTCTTGTCCGCGTAGGGTCCGATCAGGCGCGAGGCGATGAGCGTGCCGCCCCCCGACGCGAGGTAGATGCACCCGCTCACCGCGGCGTTCTTGATATTGTACCGGTCGTGGAAGATCGTGCCGAGCGGCACGAGCGTGCAGTAGATCATGATCATGATCATGGAGCTGGCGATGGTCGTCGTGATGAGGTTGTAGTACTTGAGCATTGCCAGACTTTTGACGGGGTTGAACCAGTACCACACAAACTTCTTGCCCGTCTCTTCTTTGAGGCGGTGGTGGGGCAGGGGCGGGTGCGATGTCTCAGGCAAGAAGAGGAGCACAAGCACGATCGCGAGCACGGAACAGCCGCAGAGAAAGTACTGCGTTGAGCGCCAGGTGTCGGCCGTGTATTCTGTGAACAGGCCGCCGATGACGGGAGACAGCGCGGGGCCAAGCACGACGCCAGAGTAGAACCATGCCATTGCGTTGGCCCTTTCGGTCGGGCGGTAGATGTCGCCGACAGTGCCCGCGCCCACGCTCAGCACCGAACTACTGCCTATTCCTTGCAGAATTCGTGTGCCGATCAGCGCACCGACATACGGCGACACGGCCACACCGATCGACGCCGCGGCCATGATGGGCATACTCAAAAGAAAGACAACCTTGCGGCCGTAGAAGCCGGCGAGGGGGGACCAGAAGATAGGCGCGACGCCGACAGACACAATGAAGATGGCGACGGTGTAGTTGATCATTTCCGGGGTCGTGTTCAGGTCGTAGGACATTTGCGTGATACTGGGCAGGAAGGCGGAGGACATCATTGCTGCGATGTTAGCGACACGAGCGAGCACGAGCGAAGCGAGTGGAGCTTTTGGAGTGAGCGCAGTGAGCGCTGCGAGTGTCTCTGAGTTGTCTCTGAGTGCACACAGGAGGGGAAGCCTGTGACCGCCACATAGAGGGATGAGGTCAGCCGCTCAGGCATGGCGTTGGACTGGGGGATGTATTCAGGTGCGCAAGCTCAAACCAACTTACGTCCAAGGAAAGCGCTGTAGGCGACAATAGCAACGATGAGCTTCTTCTTCCGGGGCGGGAACCGGTCATAGATATCGGGCGCGCGTTGCGCCTCGACGTCGTCCTTCTTGCTCTCCTTGTGCTTCTTGCCGTCTTTCTTGCCTATCCGCCATCCCTCGTTCTTGCCTATTGTCGAGTCGGCGTGCGAAGCGTGCGAGGCGTTCGACTCGGCGGGAGCCGAGTTGGCGGGGAGCGCGGCGTTGGTGTTGGAGGTGTGAGCGTTGGGGGTGCCGCGGGACAGTTGAGAGACAGAGTGGGAATGGGAGTGAGTTGGAGATGGAGATGGGCGAGGCTTCTCGGGCACGTCCGAAAGTTCATCGCTCGACAGTCTTAGCTTCTTCTCGTCTAGCTCGGGCGTGTCGGCGACTGTCCTCTCGCTGTCGGCGCTGAATCCCTCGCTGGGGGGGACGGACGGTCGACGGTCGAGCTCCGTCTCTGATGGCGGCAGCGCCGCCGCCGTAGGTGGTGGTGGTGATGGCGGAATAGCCGACATTTTGCGGTCTTCGGTAGTTACCCGTTCAGTCCGGCACAGTGGGGGTGGAGTGGTCGTGTGGCCTAGATTTATCGATACGTTGTCATCGAATCGAGCGTCGTAGTGTGTGTGCGAGTGTGCGAGAGAGTGTGCAGATGCAACAAGCTCTCAACCTCTCCCTCACGTCACAGAAGTCTCTGCGCTGCATGGAAACCACGGACCGACCGGTGTCTGCGGTGTCTGCGGTCTTGACCGTCATTAATCTAAAAACTGACCCAGGCAGGAGCAGTGAGACGGCTAAAAGCGAAAACATCAGGGATGTCTAGGGACACCGGCCGTCAAAAGGTCGGTTTTCGGAGCTCGCCGACACCTGCATCTCCGTTATCTCCGTGTCTATTGGTGCGTCCTCACCGTGCCGCGCTGCACCGTGCCTTGCGCTGCTCCGCCGCCCGCCGCTGGAGACCGTAGCTTTCCCACCCTCTACACCACGGGAATCTCACCGTGTAGGAGATCGTGAGTAGGGCAAGTAGAGGCCTCGGAGTGCGAGCGGCGAAGGCTGCACGGCTGCGCGGCTGCGGACACAGACTCACCACCCATTCATGTCGCATGTAATGTTTCTCCGCACACAGGCATACGCCATTCCAGCCGTATTCTTAGCTTCATTTCTTCATTCGGCACTATCAGACTTCTTTCGACTGCACTATTCTTAGCTTCCTTCCTCGATTCTCTACTGATCTGACCTAGCTCTTCGATCAACTCGCACCTGTCCGGCCTGACGGCCGTCCATGCACGATTAAATCTTGACCCAGCAGTCACTGCCCCGGCGCAGCTTCTTCGGCCGCGCGCCCAGCGTGAGGCGCACAGTCTTGATCTCATACCCGCGGAAGGGGAGCTTGAGGGTCGTCCCGTCCTCGACCTGCTGGAGGCTGATCGTCTCGATCGGGTCCTCGAGAATGTTGACGAGCTCGGCCTTCTTCACGTTCAGGTTGGGGGAGCTGGGGCATTAGCATAAGTCTTCGGAAGTTGGTGTGCAGCCGGACGGCCGAAGGCGATAGCCGACCGGCTTGCTGCGACAGGGGTCCAGCCGACGTCTACTCACATCTTTAGCGTGGCACGTGCCGCGCCGCCGTACTGCTCAAACACACGCAGAATCAACGCTGTCAGGCCGTGCTTCTTGTCGTCCTCGCCGCGCTTGACCGTCTCGAGGATCACGTTGTCGGCGCCAGTGACCTTGAACGGGTGCTCGAAGGCGGTAGACGCAACGCCAGCGGACCCAAGGCGAAGACGGAGGGGCGCGTTGAAAGCGTACGCGACCTGCGTCACGTCGCTCTCCGTGTACGTGCCGACGTGGGGGTAAATCGCAAAGCTGAACTGATGCTTGCCCTGGTCCGTCTCTGCGTCGGGCATGGTGGGGCCGCGAAGCAGCGAGAGGCGGAGCACGTTGCCCTGCGTCGCGTACCCGTACTTGCAGTCGTTGATGAGCGCCACGCCGTACCCGTACTCGCTGAGGTCGGCAAACTTGTGCGCACACACCTCGAACTTGCTCGCGTCCCACGACGTGTTGCGGTGCGTCGGTCGGCGCAGCGTGCCGAACTGCGTGTCGTACGTTGTGTGGTCCGAATGGATGTCGAGCGGCAGCTCAAACTTGAGGAACCAGTGGCGCTCGTGCCAGTCGCAGTCGGCGTCGATGCGGATGAGGGAGCGCGCGTTCGGCTTCAGCGACGCTGCGACGGCGTCGACCGAGATCGTGAACCGCAGCTCGCTCTTGTTGTACTTGACCACCGTCTCGAGGGAGGCGCGCACGGGGCCGTTGTCTTTGATCGACACCTTGTCAAACTTGAGGTCGCGGCGCTTCTCGACGTAGAACGAGTCCACGTCCCAAGCGTCCCAGTAGTTGGGGTGGTCCTCGAATACGACAAAGCCGGCAGTCTGGCCTTCGCCCAGCAGCTCGCGGTCGAGCGCAACATCCTTGATCGACGTGATGCGCCCGTCCCCGATCGTGAACACGACATTGTCGTTGCCGAGCGTGAACACGTCGCCGTCCTGCTTGGCAAACGCCTGGCCCGAGTGCGCGTACAGCCCGTTAGGCGTCGCGACGAGCTGCTCCGGCTGCGTTTCGAAGAGCACGTATGCGTTCTTGCCGTCCTTGGACAGCTGGGCCGCGTGGGTGCGTACGCACGCATGCTCCTTCAGGGGCACCTTGACGACCTCGCGCCGCTCCCAGCCCGGAAGCGTGTTGACGGCCGTCAGCACGGGCTTGGGCGGCGCGGCAGCGGGCTTCGGCTCCAGCTCAACGGTGCCCGAGAGGAGGGCGTCCTGAGCGTCCTTGATAATCTTGGTGACGCGCTTGTGCAGCTTGGCGTAGATCCTCTCGGCGTCGTCGTAGACCATGTGGATGGCCGAGCCGGGAAGGACGTCGTGGAACTGACACAGGAGCAGGTCCTCCCACGCAGCATCCAACTCCGACTTCGGGTACTTGTAGTCGTCGTTGAAGAGTGACGCCATCGACGCGTGGTACTCGGCCTCGCGCATCAGGATCTCGCTCTTGCGGTTGCCCTTCTTGATCGAACCATGCGAGGTGTAAGTCGCACGGTGGATCTCGAGGTACAGCTCGCCCTGCCACACGGGCAGCGTCGCGCCATTCTTGGTCTCCTTACGGATAGCCTCGTAGAACTCGTCAAACGAGCCGCCCATCTTCACGAGGGGCATCTGGCCACCGGCTTCGCGCCTCTTGCCAGCGGCACGGCCACGACGCAGCCGCTGCAGGTGCGGCTCGGTCGGGCCACCACCTCCGTCACCGTTACCGAAGAGCAGGAGGGCATTCTCAGAGACCTCGAGCTGCTTGTGGTTCGTCATGCCGCGACGGAGCTCGTCAATGTTGCAATTCGAGTTGTAGTTGTTGACTGGGGTCATGTGCGCGAGCACCTGCGAGCCGTCGATACCGACCCAGTTGAAGGTCGTGTGCGGGAACTGGTTGTCGCGGTTCCACGACAGCTTCTGCGTGAAGAAGTTGGGCGAGCCGGACAGGCGCGAGATCTGCGGCAGCTGCGACGAGTAGCCGAATGTATCCGGGAGCACGAACACGTTGGAGCGCTTACCGAAGCGGCTCTCGTAGTAGCGCTGGCCGTACAGGAATTGACGTGCGAGCGCCTCACCTGAAGGCAGGTTCGTGTCCATCTCGACCCAGGTCGAGCCGAGAGGCTGGAAGCGGCCCTCCTTAACCTTGCCCAGAATGCGCGTGAACAGAGTCGGGTACTGCTGCTCGAGCCACTTGAACTGCTGTGCCTGCGTGGCACTGAAGCGATGCTCGGGGTAGCGGTCCATGAGGTCGCACTGCGTAGACCAGGAGCGGGCCGACTTTTGCTGCGTGACCGAGAAGGGCCAGAGCCAGGCAGTGTCGATGTGGCAGTGGCCGACAGCCCAGAGAGTACCCTTTTGCTTGCCGGCGTTCTTCGACTCCTCCTCGCAGATCTTCTCCCAGTGCTCGCCGAGCACGTCCTCGGCAGTCTTACGGGCCTCCGAGACGGAGGACAGGTCGCCCTCGCGGAAGACGTTCATGATCTCGTTCGCAATGTACTTGGCGCGGTTGCGCATGGTCGAGTCCCACGGGAAGTTGTGGTAGATCTGCTGGATCGAGTAGAAGTCCCACATGAGGCGCCAGGCCTCCATGTTGGGCACGACGAGGTCACAGCTCTCGAGTTTGTAGTACTTGTTCGGCTGGGCGTTAGCTCGTCTAAACGCCCTGTTAGCTCACGTCAGGGGGCGCCTCATTGTTCTGACCGAACATGCGGTTACAGCTCGCCTCGATGATGTAGTGGCCGATACCGGCCTTGCGATCCTTCTCAGGGATGATGAAGTCGACGCGGCGGTCCACCTCGTGAGCCCCAGTCAAACCTGCATGTCAGCTATCGGCCACAAACCCATAACTAAAGCCACAATGGCATGTACGGCGACATCTCAGCCGCTTCACAGAGCCTCCGGGACGGCAGCGACAGTGACCGCAGCGGTTCTCGGTTGCGCACAGCCATGGTGGAAGCACGTTTGCGGTTCGTTGCGAGGTTGCCGCAGCGGCTACGTCACAGGGACACGGTTCGGGTTCCGGCGGTGATCACCGACCCTGGCATCCACATACCTTGGTAGACATTGCCCTCGGTGTCGAACACCATGGCCTCGCCGGACATGTCGAACTCGAGCTGGACGCGCTCATACTTCTCGAATTCCTTGGGGATGCGGACCGTGATCTTGAACCAATGGTTGGACTGGCTGTCAGCTAGGCGCACGATCTCACAGCTGCCACCAGCCGATCCGGATGTGATCGGCATGTGCCAAGAAGCACTGTGCCCTTCGCCGTCCAGAACAACTGCAGGGCCACAGGCATGCATCCACCGTCCAAGGGGAGCGTGTGGATGTGTGACCGCAGCGAAGTGACTCACCCAGGAAGGACCGAACATCTCGCCCTTGTGCGCGGGCTTGTACTTCTGCTTGACGGCCTCGGCGAAGAGCGGCTTGCTCAGCCCAGGGGCGGACCATGACTCGATCGTAATGTGCTTCTCGTCATCGAGCCTGTGAGCATACAGCAGCGCAGAGAGGTTGACGTCGGAGAAGTGGCCACCGATGAACTGGTCGAGATGTCCGTGGATGTCCTCGAGATGCTTGTAGCCTGGGAGTCAGCTCAGCGGCAGATGCCAGCAGCTGCATTGGGTTGCCCGGTGCAACCACTCGAGATGCACTGGTCAAACACCCCCGATGATGGACTCACGAGCATCGCGGTTGAGACGGGGGTAAGCGTCCTTGTCCTTGGCAGCACTCATGGTGGTTGGGTTCGGCTACCTCGGAACAACGAGCAGGGGTGAATGCGGGGGCGGGGTAGCTGGTCCGGGTGGCGAGGGAGTGTGTGTCGGTGTGGATGGGAAGGTGTTGTTTGTCTAATGTATATTGACAGACAATGGGTGTAAGATGCTAAAGAGAGCCAAGACCCAAGACAGCTGACGGTCGTCGTGTCGGGGATGAGTTGTCAGGATAATCATCGGTCACAGCCGCGTCGCAGTGACGTTCACATGACCCACACTACCCACTAGTCTGCAACTCGACACCACACGGTCCACACGGTCCACTCCCGGCATCCCCGGCATTCCAACCGCGTATCGGCTCCCTCGCCGTTCACAACGCTGCGCAACTCTAAGCTTCGTCCGTCACGCCTCATGGCCCCACCATCAGCTGCCCGTCCCCATGCACAAGCACGCAGCTGGCCATCTGGCATGCAAGTGGTAATGGTACATACACAAGTCTAGTCATCTATGAAGGGAGATGCCGAGGTAGCCCGCCTCGGCCCGTGATCGGAACCCGAGCGCGTGAACCGCGTGATCCGGTGTAACGGAATGCCAGTGATCGGGACACATGCCGAGCCAGCCCCGCATCAACTTCGTATGGGCGCTTACACCTGCTTGCGCTCCACGGGGCGGGCGACGCTCCCGCCCGCCGCCTTCTGGAACCAAGGCACCTCGGCGAGCCATCCCTGCTCGAACGCAGAGACGTTGCGGGCGTATATCGCGCTCGTGATCGTGAGCTCGTCATACAGGATGGCGGGCACCTTCTTCCCGGCGAGCACACTGCTCGGGTGGATCTTGACCTGTAGACTGCCCACGGTCTGCTTGTACGTCCCGTCGGCCTGGATCACGGCCGTGTTCATGAACAAGCCCTGTAAAAGCGCATGAGAGATGGGCGCGAGCTCAGAGTGGCAGCTCGTAATTGTCTGTCCGTGCCGAACGGCGAGCTGGCGCAGCTGCGCGCGCACCTTGCACGCCGCCGCTAGGGTCTTGCTGTTCACGGCGTTGTCGCGACACCACGACGCCAAGCCCTTTTCCTCCTTCTTGCTTGATTCGCCGTCGGCGAGCTCCTCGGCACGCTGCTCCTTTAGCGCCAGATACGCTCGGAGCACATTCATGCCCGTCAGGTGGTCGCCATCGCGTGCGATGAACTTTTGCCGCGCCTGCGCCGCGCTCTCCTTCCCGTCGCTGCCGCGCTCGACGAAGACCGGCCCGCTCACAATCAGAGACAGAATGTCAATGATCTCGGCACTGCACCCGAACTCGAAGCCGGCCAGGAGGATGCGCCCATGTTCCGGGTCCAGAGGGTACTTGAGCATCTCGCGGCCGAGGGGCGTGATCTCGGTTGGACTCGCAATGGCACCCAGGCCCGCGAGTGAGCGGAAGGCGGCCACAATACTGTCCCGGCCTGGGGCGTCGATGTACTCAAACTCAAAGGGATTCTGGTTCATTGCGATCAGGCTCAGAATCGCACTCGAGAGGTTGCACCGCTGGATCTCGGGCGTGTCGAACACCTTCATCTTCTTGAAGAAGTCCTTCGTGTAGAGGCGGAGACACTCGCCGGGCATCTCGCGTCCCGCGCGGCCCTTGCGCTGGTTGGCCGAGGCTTGCGAGATCGCCTGCTTGCGCAGGTGCTCGATGGCTCCAGATGCGCGGTAGATGTACTCCTTCTCCTTCTTGAAGCCCGAGTCGATGACGAACGCGATGCCGGGGATCGTGAGCGAGGTCTCGGCGACGTTGGTCGCGACGACGATGCGGCGAGTTTTTGGAGGCAGGGGAGCGAAGATCTTCGCCTGTGCCGACGGAGGCAGAGACGAGTACAGCGGGAGAACCTGCAGCTGGTCCGCGTCCGGCCCCAAGTCCGCGGCTTTTCGTCGGAGCAGCGCCACCGTGTTCTCGATCTCGTCGCTCCCAGGCATAAAGATGAGCACCTCGCCGACAGGAGAGGGTTTCCGCGTGTGGATCGAAATGACGGCGTCGGAGGCAGACTCAATGTAGTCGTCCACTGGTGTGGGGACGTTCTGGATGTCGACGTCGTACATTCGTCCTGGAACGTGAAGCGAGGGGCAATGGTCGAAGAAGTTGGTAAACTTTGCCGGGTCGAGCGTCGCACTCATGATCACGAGCTTCAGTGGCCCTCCCTTGCCGGCCGCGGCGCGCTCGGCTCGGATTCGTTGAATCTTCTTGAGAGAGCCGAGAAGGAAGTCGGTGTTCAGCGTACGCTCGTGTGCCTCGTCGATGACAACGACGTCGTATCGCTCCAGCAGGTTCAGCTTGTCGTCTTGCCCGGCGGCCATCTCATCTCCGTTGGCGGCATCGGCCTTCTTCGCCTTCTTGCCGTTCGCCTTGCCCTTGCCCTTGGCTTCCTGCTCGTCGTCGTCGTCTTTGGACTTCTTCTTGTCTTCTCGTCCGTCGGCGTTTGCGAGCTCACGCATGAGCACTCCCTCGGTTAGGAAGCGGACCTTGGTCTCGAAGCTAGAGCAATCCTCAAAACGCACGGCATATCCGACTTCCTTGCCGACCTCGACGCCCATTTCAGCTGCAACGCGAGTAGCAAGAGAGATACACGGCAGTCGTCTTGGTTGCGTAATCGCAATGCTCGGAGCATGAGTGCTTGGTTCGCCGTCCTTCCCCTTGTGCTTGCCGTTGAAGTACTCGAGAGCTCGCGGCTCGCGACGGAGCAGCTGGCCGAGCTGCGTCGATTTGCCACATCCCGTCTCACCAACAACGACGGTTGTGTCATTCGAGAGGATTGCGTCGAGAATGTTGGCTCGGTCCTGGTAGAACGGCAGCGACTGGCGCGTCTTCAGCAGCTCAGCAGCCTGCGCGGCTAAGTCGACGGGGGCGCCCTTGCCCTTGCCTTGCTTCTTCTTGTTTTTCTTCTTGCTCTTCTTGTCTTTCGGTGTCGAGTCTTCAACCTTCTCAGCAACTCTTGGTCGCTTCGACGGCACCTCGTCCTCGCTGTCGCTGTGGAAGTTGACCTGCTTCGACATGTCGATGACGGCAGTGACGGTTCGATCGCGAACCAAAACAAATCTTGGCCCCTCACCTCCCAGTCTCGGCGACCTCCATGGTGGTCGAAATATTTGGTCCCGCCCGGCCTCCACCTCCACTCTGCCTCCACCAGACTCGCCACTGAAAGGTTCAGTCAAGGGCAAGAGACGACGTTGTGCATCAGCTGTCGTCCACAGAACCATGACCAAGCATGCGCCGAGCTTCAAGCATCTCCTCGGCAGAGTGACCCACCGTGAACAACGGCGCGAACCGACTGTTGCGGAGCTGCTCGCCAACTCGAGGGCGCAACAGGCTGTAGCTCCTGTGCGAGTGCAGGAGCCGGATATTCATCCGTGAGTGCACCGTCCTCCAACGTCTGAACCTTCCCCCGAGCCGCCCGACTCACTCGGACAAACTCATTACTAATATGTAGCTGTTTAGGATGGAGAATCTGTGAGCTGACGCCAGTGCTGAGCTTCTCCGACGTGAACGAGAGGAACACGATGCAGAGCGCCGGCGTGTTGCGGGCCCAGCGCCACCCAAGTCTTGGTGGAAGCGGACAGAGACGCCGCAAGCAACGGCTGTGGATGCGCCGCAACCGACCGACTCTGAGATTGCGGACGCGATAGAGTTTCTGAAGGACCCACATGTGGACGCAAGTCCGCGTCACGGAGCACCGAGCCTGGCGACCATCTGTTGCGATCTCACGGTCGCCCTGCTCCGGGACAACACGGCTGTCGAGGGCGAGCGGATATCCGACATTGTCTTGCCCGCTGTGCTTCAGCTTGAGCCACATCTGCGGGAGCGGGTGCTCGAAGTCGCGCGAGGGCGCCTCGCAGACGACCAGGTACGAGCGATCCTGACGCATAAACCTGAGCCGCCAGGCCTAGGCGAGGAAAATGAGTACGACGCTGGGGACGAGGGCGAGGAAGATTGGGACCGCGACGATGACACGACTATCACTTCGCTCTGCATACCGAGTCACCCCGCGCCGGGGCGTATGCTGAGGACGGTTGATCTGAGCGTTCTCACGTCCGTGAACCTCGCCTTCTGCCGGATACCGGACCTGACGAGGCTGGTGCTGCCACCCAGCTTGAGGTCTCTGGGGTTGAGGGGTGTCTATTCCGGCTTGCCCCGCTACAAGCTCATCGGAACGACAGGCGATTCTGGCACTGCTGGACAGAAGAGAAGGAATGATGAGGATCTTTTGTGGGCCGCACAAGGCCTGACCGCCCTTGGAAAGCGCCTCATCCTGTTGAAGGTGTGTGTAGCCGAAGGGTTGTCGCTAACCTCAGACACTCGATTTGTCGAACTCGACTCTCGCAGAGCAGTGCCAATTGCTCGCTCGCAAAGACTGCTTTCCTTCCCTTCGGACTCTGGGGCTGCGGGGTGTAGAGCCGCGGGGCAACCGAATAAGAGATGGAGATGCCGCCCGCTTCCTCGATCGCATCGTCTACTGATTACGCTGCGTCCTCGGTCCGGTCGTGCGGCTTATCGTGATTGCTCCGGAATGGTTCCACGATACCGATCGCTCGCGACATCTCGCTTCAAATCCAGCTTCCAGCGTCGTCGCTGACTGCACGCACCTACGGTGCGACATGGAAGTGACCGGCGAGTCCTCCATGTGCCCCGAGCGCCGCGCCATTTCCCGGCAACTTCGCTGGGACCTCGGAACGCAGGGAGAAGCTGTGAAACTAGGTGTGGCACTACGGGACGCAGAGCCCTCCTCTGGACAGGCACTGAGAGCGAGATATGAGCCGGGATCGCACAAGGCGTCGGGAGCTCCGGCTCTTTTCCATTGCCCAAGCGAGTGCGATCGCGATGCCGAGTAGCCGCGCCGGATATCGCTCCCACAGGCAGCCGCAGCGGACGTACGGCCCCGCACTCGATGTGTGGTAACGCCCACCTCCGCAAACTCACATGTCGAGCTGCAGGAGCGGTTCCCCAATCGCGGAAGCCAATGCCAGGTAGGGAGGGTGCCCCAGATCCCGAACAGAGAACTGTGTGCATCAGTTGGTACAACGGCGAGCCCGACAAAGCACGCGCTGGGTCAGGCACGGCGCGTGCCTTCTTGGAGCCCGAGTGATGAGCGGCTGCGAGTGGTGGGTGGAGCGGGACCTCGGCCGTGCCAGGGCTTATCATTGGTTCCCCCATCTACCTGGCGCTGGCTTGCCCACATCCACCGACCGTGACTCCTGATAGCAATCCTGACATCCTTGGCTGGTGGTTGTTGCTTCTCCGACGTCGGTGGCCCTTGCGCCTATCGGCACGAGCGCCAAGGCCTGTGCAATCGGTGCGACGTGACAGAGCCAATATGGGACTGCGCAGAGTGTCTGCTCAGTGAGCGGCACACATGCACGCGTTGTGGTTCGTCCAAAGCAGTGTTCGTGCTCCAGTCGACTGTGCGCAGAAGCATCGGTATGATGTCGATGCTTGCGCGGCCGGGGCGATTGCGCCGAGGTCGGGGGCCGGGGGAGGAGCGCGGTGAGGATCGGCCATTCAGCGGGTCCCTTATGGCGCTAGGAAAACTTTCGCCACCGGGCTGGGTGCAGGGCCACCGGGCATGCGGAAGGAGCAGCAGAGGACAGACGTATCTCGGTCATTTAGTCATGCCCCCCAGCAAACGTCATCTTGTCACTCACTCCGTCACTCTCGTCTTATCCGCGGGTGACACCGACATGATGAAATAAGCGACGCTCCTCCGTGCTCAGGCCCGTCGGCTCCATCGACGCAAAAGATAGATACATAGACGTGCATCGATCAAGAAACTGCAACTATTTCCTTCTTCACTTCTTTCTTGATCGCCCCCATCGTCACTGAACCTTCGTTTCATTTTCACCACAATCATCGCGCCCAATAGACACCTGAGTCCGTCTTTGAACGATATCGATCCGACTGGCGCAACCGTTACACCAATTCATCTGTCCGAATCCCCTATCTTCTTATCACAGCAATGTCCGACTACCAGCCCGACCCCCGCACGCCGCCGAATGTCGGCGGCCCTCTCGGCGTGCTGCTCAAGTGGCTCGACGCTTTCCTGACCGTCATCGACAATGTCTACCTCAAGCTCAAGTCCTGGGTGCGCCGCAAGGGCTCCAAGGGCAAGCGCTCCAAGCGCTCCAGCAAGCAGCAGCCGATGATGGAGCAGGCGTACACGACGGCCCACTCGCAGCCTTCGACCGCGTACGCCCGAAAGGGACGGGTGTCGACCTCGACCGAGCGGCAGCGCATGACAAGCGGCGGGGCAGTGAGCCCCGTCTCACCCGTCTCGGGCACATTCAGCAGCAGCGACCACAGCCACGGCGCCCCGGTCGAGGCAATGACGTACGACCGCTTCGCGGCGCAGCCGTCCTACGTCCCGAGCCAGAACAACGCTTACGCCGTCGCAATGGCAAAGCCAGACCACCCGCACCCGCATGCCTCCCCCAAGCCGGCGTCGGTTCCGAGGACCGCTGAGACCGAGGCTGTCGTCCTCTCCGATCCAAAGCCAAAGACACAAGTCTCGCGCCTTGTGTCCGAGGAGACGCCTGCGCGCTCCAACTCGACCCGCTCCAAGATGAGCAAGATGAGCGCGAGGAGCAGTGACTCCCGTCCCGACACTAGCGCCTGGAAACCCTCCGGCCCCTACCGGAGCCCAGAGCAGCGACACTCTGGCGCCTTCTCGTCGCACTCGGCGTCTCCCTCCGCCTCATCCCATGCCCTCGGCCACGCCCGGGAACCAAGCCACGGCAGTCTCGCAGCGATCGCAGCGAGCAACTCGCGCCGCTCGGGCGACCAAGCGCGGTACGACGCCGTCCGCCCGCTCTCGCCGCAATACGCGCCCTCGCCGGCGCAGCGCTCCATCTCCCCCCAGTACGGGCGGGCAGACACGCCCTCGTACAACGAGTTCGGGAGCCGGCCGACCTCCCCTCCCGCCCAGCAGTGGGAACCAGCAGTCCCCACCACGACAGGCGTAACGGGGACAAAGTACGCGCACGTCACAACGGGCCGCACGGGGACAAAGTACGCGCACGTCAGTGCTGATCGCCTCCCGTCCTCGCCCACAAGCCCCACAGCCAGCTCGTGGCAAATTCATTCCCAGAGTGAGGGACACGAGGGGCAGGAGAGCTACAACGGCGGCTGGAACCGTGTCGCCGATGGCGTCGACGTCGATGCGGCGTATAAGCGCTGGTCGAGCAGCAGTGGGGCGAGTACGCGCACGCGGTCGACGTTTGGCGCGCCGACGCACGACTCGCACCACGTGTCCCGCTCCTACGTGACCCAGCCCTCGCACACCCGGACCCAGAGCCAGCCCCAGGCTCAGCAGCGCTACGTGCCCGGGAAAGCCTACGCGCCCCCGCCCGAAGACACGGCGAGTGTGAGCGACTTCAGCGACGAGTCGCTGTACGACGTGCCCAATCCCACGGCGAGCAAGTCGACAACGGCACAGAACTATGCCGCCGCTTATGCTGCCAATCTCAAGCGCAGGACGGCCAGTTTGAGATCCGGCAAGCGGGATAGTGCGGGTCTGCCCGCTGGTGCTGCTACGCCGACGAGGGCGCAGACTTATGTCCGCAGGAGCGAGATTGTCGCTTAGGCGGTGCGCTCGCCCGAAGATCTGGGAGAAGAGTGTAGGAGTGTACACATAGTTATAATCTGTTGCATGCATAGATCTCCATCAGCTGCTGCGTAATGTACACCATTGCATCTTATGCACAGACAAATGTTCTAGCCACTGTTCTATGGAAACCTGGGTCCACTCTTGGGCTGGCTGGAGTGGCGGGCTTGTGACGCGAGAGCTCGCTGTGCTCGCTGCGCACGCTAGTGTCTGCACCGCCCGCCGACAGCCCTCCACCCCTTACACCAGCGATGCGGACAAATTACGTCGACCTGGGTATGTTCTGACCCGTCCTCGCGCCAGACTCTCCACCCTCTGTCTCTGCGCCGATCACGATGACTTGAGGCGGACGGCGCGCTGGAGACGGTGTGCTGTGTGCCTCGCCAGTCGTCATTTCTGCCTCTGCGCTCCCCGAAAAGGCGGTGCTTCCGCTCGTGCCGCTCGTGTCGTTCGTGTTGAGGGTAATCGCCGGGCCGAGAGACAGCCCGAGTGCCCCGAGCGGTCCGACTTCCGCCGCCACTGCCCCGGCTGGAGACGGGCCTGCGCCCGCCATCATCTCGTCCATGTCGGGAAGCCTGTCGAAGGGGTGGTCCGGCCCCATTGACCTGACTTGCGTCGGCGAGACCCTGGGCATAGCCCTCTCCCCAGACCGTGGCGATGGCTGCGCGGAACCGCTGCCACGTCTTGGTCGTCCCGTTCTCTGCGGCGGGGGCGGGGCTGTCGGGTCTGCTTGCCAGACGACCTTGGGCGCGACCGGTTTCGGTTTCGGCACCGGGGCCTCCTCGTCCTCCTCGACGACGCGCTCTAACACCCTCAGACTCCCGCAGTGGTGTAAGTACACCTGGCCCTCGAGGCCGTACTCCGGACCCAGCTCGAGCCAGTCCGGCCCGATGTCCGGGACGTCGACCTCGTCCTTCGGCGGCGGAGGGGGCGGGCGCGGGGGCAGCTGCGGCAGCTTTGGCCTCGATCGCGATCGGCTCGGACACGCTCGGCGTCGACTCGTGGCACGACCGCTCCGTCTCGCTCCAGCTCTTGCCGCGCAGATCGAACTTGCTCGGTGTCAGCGCGGCTGCCCCGGTCTCGCCAGTCGCGCTCGAGGAGCTCGGCGAGCTCGCGTCTTTGCTCGGCGTGCCAGGCGCGCAGGCGTTCTTTCGCGTGTCGTCGCTCGGCGCGGCGGAGCTCGCGCCGTCGCTCCCGCCTTTCTCGCCGTTCGGCGCGGCGTTGCTGTCGGCGATCTTCCCACTCGCGCTGTTCCCGCTCACGCTCCGCATCATCGGCATTCCGTCGCTCTCGCTCCCGGCGCCGCCGAACAGATCCGAAACTCTCAAAGGGGTGAAACCCGACCCAAGTGTGATCTGCGTAGCGCTCCGGGGCGGCGTGACGGGGCCGTCCTTCGCCGGGGTCGATATACCCTGCGGGTCGAGGGGGCTGATCGGGCTCGCGGCGCTCGCGGTCGTCGTGCCCGTGGCCAGGCGCTCCTGGACCTTGCTCATGTCCAGCGTATTGAGCTTCATGCCGTCCGCCAAAGAAGCTGAATGGGAGATATTGCCGCTCACTAAAGACATCGAAACGACGCTGGTGGGGTCCGTTCGGTACATGGTGCCGTCCTCGGTGGCCGTGCCAGTGGAAGAAACCTGCTTCTTGAGGTTGGTGTTGTCTTCATGTGTGGACATACGCTTTTGCCTCTCATCCCCTCTCTCCGCGCTCGGTCCGTTGAACATGGGCGGGAGCCACCGCCTCGCTGCCTCAGTCGGAGGTGGCACGGTGCCAGTCGCCTGGGGGATCGCAGGGTACGCCGGAGCCGTTGGCGGCCGCATCGTCATCGGAGGATGCGCCGGGTGCGCCGGGATCTCGGGAAGCGGTTGACCTGCGTAAGCATATGGGTCCGGCTGGGGCGGGTAGCCTTGCTGAACGCCGTACTGGGCTGGCTGCGGCGCCGGCGCCGGCGCCATTGGCATCGCTCCAGGCGGGAGCTGACCAGTCGCCATCGGAGGCTGCTGTTGTGGAATCCACTCGTAGCCAGATGGTGGGACGCCAACGTTCTGCTGTTGAACTCGCGTCTGCTCAGGCAAATTCAGAGGAGGCGTGTAAAACCTCTGCTCGGACTCGGAGGCGAGCGGAGGCTGCATCATCGTTTCAGCATGGTGGACGTGCGTTTCGGGTGCCGGCGCGGGCGGCTGGTGGTGAGACAGATTGGAAGGTTGCTTAGACTGACCATGCAGTACTGGTTGAGCGGCGGATCGTTGCGCGGATTGACCGGCTGCTGCACCTCCTGCGGCCACCACTGCTGGCTGTGACTGTCCCAGATCATCCTTGCGTCGTGATGAATTTGACGCCGGCGCCTTCGTCTTGTTCTCCTTGCCTTCCACCGCCTTCCGTGACGGCAGCCACGAGAACACTCTACTCTTCGGCTGCCGCTTGGACGCTTCACCGGCCGGCTCGGAGCGCTTGTTCTCCTTAGTCGGGGCAGGCACCGACTTCTTCTGAGCCGGACCTGGGCTGTGCGCAGAGGCTCGGGAAGGAGAAGGAGGCTGGGACTTGGACTGGGGCGCGGGAGGTGCCGGATGTGTAGCAGGCGCGGGCGCAGAAGGTAATGAAGCTGAAGCAAGAGCAGGCGAGGATGTGGAGCGAGATGGCTTCTGAGCGCGTGATATACTCGAGGTGCGTTTTGGCAGACCAGCCGGCGTGTTTGCCTTCGACCCCTTTGTGACAGAAGCCTTGACTCGCTTGCTTCCTTCATCTGGTGGCGTCGTGACGACCACGGTTGGCAGCGCGGGTGGCGCTTTGGACGCGGTCCTCGTTTGAGCCTCTAAAGGCTTGACGGGGCCAGCCTTGCTCGGTAGGACGGGTGCACGAGCCTCCCGGGTGTGTGTTTCTTTCACGGGCGCATTCTCCTTTTTATGATCCGAAGTCCTCGTTTCAACAGCACCAATTGCATTGCCGTTTGCCCGCGGTCCGTTGTTGTTCGTGAGCACGCCGGGAGTGGCAACGGGTGCGGCAGGCGCAGCCGCTGGCGTCTGCTGGGTGGCGTCCGGGTGGTGCGGGGAAGATGTGCGTGACTGGCCGCGCACAGGTTTCTGCCCGAGAGCACCACGCGAAGACGTACGGCGTGTGAGCTGAACGACGGGCTCGCCATTCTCAGCAGGAGCAGGATCATTGCGGAAAGAGACAGGTGGAGCGGAGGGACCGGCGTGGGCCGTGTGGATCTGCGACTTGCTGCGCGCGAGGCTGCCATTCCTGGCCATGCTGGGCGGATTGTTGGGTCCACTTGGACCCGGCCCCGGCGCCGGAACCGGCCCATGGGTGTTTCTCCACGCGCCTTCTTGCATTCCTTGACCTCCGTTCCCAGTCACGGGATTCATCGAGCCAGACATGGACGCACGCTGGAGGAGCTTGGCGTCCATCGAGCGCATCTTGGAGAGTGTGCCGGCCGTTCCTGCAGCGGCGGCCGGATCGAGGCTGATGCCGCGGGCTGAGCGTTCGCTGGATGAGGCAGATGGAGGACCCGAGTGCTTCAGGCTGACCTGGCTCTTGGACCGGCCAAGGAGGGAGCGGAACCCGCCGCGCTTCTCGTCGCTGGGGTGCAGCTGCTGTTGCGGCGCCTCCCACTGCTGAGGGTGTTGGTACATGTGCAGCTCTCGCTCGAGATTGTTCGGCAACGCCTCCGTGATCATGTCGAGGGGAAGGTCAAGCGCAGCGGCAAAGTACGCCTCGCGGCGGGAGCGCATTGTACCGGGCCCACCAGTCGGACCTCCATGGACGGGGTTGACCAAGTGGTCGGCACGAGGAAGCTCATAGTCTGCAGCGTAGTCGTGCAACGGGCTCTGGGCGAGAAGCGGCGCAACGGGTGTGCCGCGTGGTGGTCGACGGTGAATCTCGAGCTGTGGAGGGTGAGGAAGAGGGGGACGCACACCGGGGCCGGCAGCAGCGAACGGGTGTGCGTATCGTGGGTCACGCGATGCGCTCGGGCCAGAAGCGTTGGACGGTGCGCGGTCACTCCACTGTGCCGAGTGTGCGCCGACAGACGCTCCGCTTCCGGGGTGCGGCTCGGGGAGGGCTTTGGTCCACGCCTCGATGCGTGCGTTCTTGGTGCGGTGTGCCTCGATCTCGGAGGGGGAAGGCGAGTAGGGCGGGTAGGATATCTCGGTGGCGGGTTTGTCGTCCCACGCCATGTCTTGTTGGGGTGGGAGTGTGTGGGTGGGTATCGGTGTGTGCGTGTGTGTGTTGTTGTTGTTGTTGCTGGCTGATGATGGTGGTGGGTATGTGTGTTGATGTGAGAGAGTGTGTGATGGGTCGGGAGGGTATGAGTCTGTGAGAGTGTGTATGTGTGTGCAAGGAGAGTCAGAAGGGAGTATGAGTCAGTGTGCAGTGTGATGGAAGGATGAGGGTGTGAGCATGGAAGGAAGACGAAAAGTTGGAGCAAAGCCGGAGTGAGGACTGTGCTGCGGGGTACTCGGGTGTGCGGGTTGCGTGGCTTGGCGTGTGCTCTCCCACTCCAGTTGCATGTATGCATGCAGGTCGACGGCAGTTGGAACGCAGTGAAGCAGTGGAGTGGACGGACAGTGCGGCCTGGAATAGCCCATGCAGCCTAGTCCCAGGATCAAGCGGCGGCTCGTGCGCGTCCGTAGTGTCCAAGGTGTGCGCAGTTGGCACACACACACACGATCGAGATGCGTCGAGCCTATCTCATTCTCGCAATTTGCGTATCACACTCTCCAGTCTCCGTGCGTCAGAGCAGCAGAGTCCAAGTAGAGCGGAGCCCACGTCCGACGTCACGCTCCGTCTGCGTCATGCCGCATGGCCGTTTGATCATCCTCGATGAACGCAGTGGCGAGAACCCGAGAACCCCGTTCGAGCGTGCTGCATGCCGGGCGCACCCGTTCCGCAGTCAGTAAACTCGTCTGTGTGTCGCTCGACTATCCCTGCTGTGTCGTGACATCCGCCAGTCAGCCGTGGTGCGCCAGACATGCAGACAGTCGGTCCGTTATGCTGTGGCGTAGCGCCATCGTCAGTTATGCCTACTGGCAGTTCTGCATTCCTGTGTCCTGCCCTCTGCGCGCTGTGGCTCTGAGTGATGGTCGATTGACGGTTCCAGAGGAAAGGCCAAACCCACTGCGCAAGCTGTCCGTGCCGCGTCCAATTTAACCCCCTGCTGTATCCTGTGTTTCCTGCCGGCCCTGGTTGTCCGACCTTTGTAATGATTTCTGCATGATATGCTGTGGACAATGGGTTGTTTGGTGTCTGTGTTTGCAGCGCTGCGGGCAACTGTGCGTGTTCGATGTTTCAAAACGGCAGATTCCAGCGGACGCCATGCGCGCCATGGAGGGGGGATGCGGAATGTCCCTGGCTCGAGCTGACGCCTCGGCGTCTCTGGACATGTCAACTTCAGGGTTGTGCGAGCTGGGACTGACGGGGTTCAGCTGGGCCAGACGCACAGTAGCTGTGCTTAGCTGTGCTTGGACGGTGATATGTCCCGTCTAGTCGGTCACGTCGGGCCGGGACAGAGCCGGATAGTCGTAGTTCATGTGGTTGGATCTTGACGAGACCCGTAGTTCTCACAAATCCGAAGTTCATAGTGGAGTGTGTGCGGATGTCGACTTGGTCTTGGATACAGATGCTGCAGGAATTGAACATTTGGTCGAATGCATTGCGGGTCGGTGAGAGGTGCTAAGGCGATGACGAGGGAAGCGGAGACGGTCTTCTCGAGGCGCCGTAGAACGCCGACGGAATGTGACGACCATGCTTGCTGACCGAAGGGGCTTATGAGCCAACTCAGTCGGAGTCTACACGACAAAGCTCGTCGCGCACCCCGCCCAAGCCCGCATCGCCGTGACGCCGGGCACCTCGACCAGCGCATCTCTGTCTCGCTCATCCCCGAGCCCAAGGTTGCCATGCTCATTCCACCCTCCTGCCAGCAGCGTCCCGTCCTGAAGGACAACAAGCAAATGTTCCGACCCCGCCACAATGCGCTTAACCTGCGCGTCGAACGGCAAACTAACTTCTCCGCCATTAGTGCCCGCGCCACAGAGCTGGCCATGCGTATCTGCGCCCTGTGCTCTCAACTGTCCAGATTTGAGGACGTAGGACCCGTTCCAGCTCGCTGCGATCTGCTCGGCCTCGAGCCCGTTCAGACCCCGGATCTGGCCCTTCGCGTCTGAGCCAAAGGCATAGAGCCGATCGGTCAGGATGAGGGTGTGTGCGGCCCCGACGGCGACCTGGCGCACTGTCCCCGACACGGGGATCGGGACGGGGGTGCTGGAGCGCGGCGCGGCGGGCGCCGGGCGCGAGGCCGCCTTGCCTTTCCCCTTTGCATCGGGCTTGCCCCTCCCCGCATCGCCCGCGGCAGCTTTGGCGCCAGTGTCGGCGGCAGTCGCGGCAGGCCTTGGAGGCCTAGGGGGCAGTTCGGGCCTATCCCCATTCGTGATTGGAAAGTCTGGACCGGTCTCCACCGTCTCCCTGATCGTGAGGTTGCCCATGGTCTCCGTGATGGTCTGCGCGTGCCCGAGCTGCCCGTGCCGCGCGCCGCCCCAGCCGAGGACTCTCTGCCCATTCGGCCCGTCCAGCACAATCACGACGTGCCGCTGCGAAGCGGCCGATGATGTTGATCTCGCCCCCGAACTCGGGCGCGTGCGCGCGTTCCCCGAAGTCGTTTGAGCCGACTACGACGAGCACGTGAATCGGCTCTTCCTCGCCTGAGGTTGAGGCTGAGCTGGACGCCGGTCCCGAGTCCAAACCCGTTGTGGTCCCGGCAGCCCCGGGCGCAAGACTGGACCTAGAAGCAGTAGGGAAGGAGGACGACGGCGGACAGTCCGGCAATCGCTCATACACCACAAAGGACGTGGACCACGTACAGGCCACTTTGACGGGATGCCACTGCTCGGGGTCGAGGCGCAGTGTCTCGCGCAGCGGCGTGAGGAGGTCGAGTTCCTTGAACGTGAGCCACTCCTTGGTTTCGTTCCACAGCACGCAGTTCGGGCCCAGCTGGCCGTGCGTGTTCGTCCCCGTTGCCAGGAGCACGTTCCGGCCCCAGGGCAGGAGGGGCTTCTTCGCCGAGCTGACGGCGCGGGATCGGCCCGTAGCTGAAGTCGCTGCAGCGGGTGCCGTAGTCGCAGAAGACGGGGCAGGCACGGGCTGCGGAGCGGCCAGGTGCGTCGGGGCCGTTGGAGAGCCGGGGGTCACGGAGGAGTGGACAGAGCTCGGTGGATCGTTGTCATCTTCTACGTCATCCTCGTCGTCTGATTGAGCCAGCGGGCTCGGACGGGGTGGCCGGTGTGCTTCGGCCACGGCGGCCGTTTCGGCATGCACCGCCGACGTGCTCGGAACTGTTGTCCGCAACAAAAGCAGAGTGTGCGAACTCCCACTCGCCAGGTCTAGAACGGCACCAGGCTGAGTCGGCAGAGGCATCTGCACCCCGGCAAAGGTCGATATGTCGTCCTTGGACGCGAGGCCGAGTTGGCCCCAGCCGTTTGAGCCGCAGGCCTTGAGCGGCATTACGTTGTGGTGGAGGATGGGAGAGGTGGTGGAGAGGAAATGTAGAGGAGCGTTTGGGAAAGTGGAGGCCGACCGAGTGGAGGTGTGAACTGGAAAGTTCGTCGGATGTCGGACCGGGGAATGGGGCGGTCAGAGAGTTGTCAAGGATTGAGACTCGATCAGGCTGAGATGGGCAACGAGAGATCTAATGCAGAGAACGCTGAGCTCCGACGCTACGGTTGGAGTTGCTCAGAGTCCCCTCCAATCAACTAGAGTGGTAGCCGCGTATGCTCGGAGTTGTGTCCTGTTTATGGTGACCACGAGGTGTTGACTTTGTGGTCTCGGTTCCGGCGTACACTGCCGAGTGTAGACTTGTTGCTCCGTAGCGTAGTACTCGCCAGTGCCGTAGCAGATACGGAACTGATGTGAGGCTAAGGACGATATCCGAACGATCAGGAGAAGAGAGGAGGGATAGAGGAAGACGAGGGAGACAGGACGAATTGTCTCCAAGCTGCAGCCTGCGTCATTGCGTCATTTACGATAACAACGTGCATTAGGGTTTGCTTCGATGTCTGTGTACCGGAGATAGACGTCTTAGACCGATGGCAGTTCTCGTCTTGCTACATACCCATGGTCTGTCAAGGCATGCTGGCATGTACTGCGGGGCATTATTGGGCGACCTCAAAGCTTAGAGAACTCTCGGTGGCAGTGTCGTAAACGCGTTGGAGCACCAGTGAAGCATAAACTGAACCGTCGATCAGCTGTCACCTCCCCTCGACTGGTGGTAGTCAAGAACTAGCCATCCTTCCCGTCCCAGGTCTCACGTCATCTCCTCCCGATCTGCTCCAGCCCTCCCTCCTTCCTCCCCCTCTCACTTCTGTATTTCTTCTCTGGTGCAAATTGGTTGCTAGGAGAATGCATGCCCGCCGAGCTCGCCATCGCAAAACTACAGCGGTACAAATGATATATATATATTGGGATTGTGGGGGGGTGGTACTACACTTCTTCTTCTCTCTCTCATCCTTTCAAGAGGACACTAACAGTACAACTAAAGTGGGTTTCTACGTTTTACGCTTTCGTCGTCACTTCGCTGGATCGACTTGGCCGTCGACGTCGCCTTCGCCTACGTCTTCAACTTTTGAGGGCTGCTTACAACAGGTCCGCTTTGGCTGAGACAGCCTCGTCTCGCTGACGCTCGACTCGGCGCTCAGTGGAGCCATCCACGAATAGCTCCTCCGACATTCTGCACGTCGAGGAGGAACGTGTCGTGTCCCCAAACTCCGCCGAGCTCATAGTATGTGACCTCCTTGTTGCCTGCCATCTTGAGTGCGTCTGCGAGTTCCCTCTGCTGCTCAACATCAAACAGCACATCGCTCTGAACACCAAGCACGAGCGCGGGAATGCCCTTGAGACGCGCGAGTCCCTGGGCGAGATCGTGGAGATGGGGACTCTTCGAGGTGGGAATGATGCGGTGCTCCTTGATCGGCTTGCCGTGGCCGTGCTCCTCCTCGCTGCCATCACGCGTAGCGCCCGGGAAGGGCGACGCACTCACACCGACCGGGTCGGTGGGGTACGGGAAGGGGTTGGCGTCGGGGTAGCTCTTGGCGTACTTGTCCGCGAGCTCCTGGAGCGCCGGCGCCGTCATGTCGAACAGGTCCATCGCCTTGCTCAGGTAGATGAGGCTGTTGGCGTCATACGTGAGGCAGAAGCGCTCGCCCTGGTGGTCGAGGTACGTCTCGATCAGGAAGTCGGGGGACAGGCGGGGCTCGGCCCCCTCTTCGGCGGAACGCATGCGGCGCCCGAACCGCTGCTCCCACTCTGGGCCCGAGCGGTAGGTGATCGTCGCGATTTGGCGGGCGAGCTTCATGCCCTCGTGCGGGGGAACGCCGTCGTAGTAGAACCCCCTGTTCCAGTTCGGATCGGCCATGAGCACGCTGCGCTGCGCGTAGCGCATGCCGACGCCCTGCAGACCGGAACGGGCAGAGGCGGAGATGCTGGCCACACGCGCGACGCGTTCGGGAGCCAGATACGCGAGCGACAGCGACGTCATGCCGCCCATGGAGCTGCCGATGGAGGCGTACAGCTTTTCGATACCGAGGTTGTCAAGGAGCGACAGCTGCGCGCGCGCCATGTCGTGAATGCTGAGGAGGGGAAAGCGGGTCGCCCAGCGCACATGGCCGTCTCCCGGGGGATACGGCGACGACGGGCCCGTGCTGCCAAAGCATCCGCCGAGGACGTTGGTGCAAATGACATAGAAACGGTCTGTGTCAATACTCTTGCCGGGACCGACAAAGTCCTCCCACCATCCCGGCTTGCTCGCCGTTTCGCCCGCGACGTCGTTGCCGCCACTCGCGACGTGCGAGCTGGCACTGAGGCCGGTGTGGATCAAGATGGCGTTCGACTTGTCGGCATTCAACTTGCCCCACGTCTCGTACGCTATCGAGTAGGGCGGCAGCGCAGTCGGCGAGTACGTCAAGGGCAGGTCGGTCTCGGAGTGGTAGTGCAGCGTCGTAGGCGGGGGCACGTAGCATGCCTCGGCCTCCGAGTTCTCCTCCTTCATGAGCATCTCGTCCTGCTCCTGTGCCTCCTGCGGCTTCGCAGCTGCCTTCATCTTGTCCTGCGCTTGACGGAGGGAGTCGGGCCGCTGGACCTGCGCCGATGCCAGGCCGAAACCGCCGGGCGAGAACGCTGGTCGCCGCCGGGGCGGGATCTGGGGAGCGGAAGGAGGAATGAAGGGCGGTGTGGCGGATATGGGGGCGGGGGACGCCTGCGCGAACGCGGCACTGTCGAGGTGGAACTTGGACAGGTGCGGCTTGCGCGGGGGCACGCGCGGCTTCGGCGCCGACGGGAGATGCAGGGCGCGGGGGCGGGGCATGGCGTTCGGTCGTTACTTCAGCCGTTGAAGACTGTTCGTTTTTTGGTGGTGTAGCGTTGGGTCGTGGGTTGTTCGTTGAAGAGTGTGGCGACTGGTGTATGCACAGGAAGAAAGCGAAAGAGAAGCGTCAAAGAGATAAGTATTAACCCGGTGCTCGCTGTCTGTGTCGGCGTGCAAGCGGTCGTGTGTCAGCAATGAACTCAATCCCCGGTCGTCGCCCCAGTATGCCGGTTCGCATCCTGAGCGATGAGAGCCTGAGGTTCTGGCCACTCCGAACTTTCAGCGAGCACGCCATCGATGGCGAGAGGATCGTCATGAAGTGTGGAGTCCCGCATCACGTGTGAGTCCTTTCCGAATTAATCTGGCGGTCACGTGGTCGACACGATCACTTCACCCAGCACTTACACGCCGAAGGACGATTGAATGCGATCTGGAATGCATGGCGTGACTGTCGATACGGAATGAGAGTGTGTGGAGCATGGATCGGAGATTGATAAGCGAGAGTACGTTTGGAGTGCATGTCTTAGCGTTGGTTAATTGCCGAGGGCTTATCATCACATCTTTCAACCTCGCCCGTCGATGTTTATCACCGGTGAAAGGACATACCATGCCGGGTCACGATGTTTCTCAGCATGCAGCAAGAGGTAAGAGAAGAATGCATCTGCACAGCAGCTACAGAAGTTAGGGGTAATATCGATATGCAGGGGATACATTAGAATCTGACTAGCAGATGTGAGGTTGCAAGTTGCTTTGCAGCGACAAGCATGCGACTCCCTTAGTGCGAAGCAAGACGCAGGCGGGAGCGGCGGTGCTTCTTGGCGCCGGCGCGGCACTTCTTGCCCTTCTTGCCCGTCTTCTGGGGCGCGGCGGAAGCAGAAGAAGCAGAAGTGGGCCCGCCAGAGTAGACGGCCGAGCTGGCCGCGGAAGAGGCGGTGGGCTCGCTGGAGTTAATAGCGCTGCTGGCCGAGCTGCCCGAGGCAGAGGGGGCAGCCGAGGCGGAACCAGAGGGAGCGACGGATGAGACTGAAGCGGAGCCAGAGGCGGCGGAGCCCGAAGCGGAGGCAGCGGCGGAGCCAGAGGCAGAGGCAGAGGCAGAGGCAGAAGGAGAAACAGAGCCCGAAGCAGAGGCAGAGCCCGAGACGGAAGCGGAAGAGTCAGGCGCGTCCGGCTCGAGGTCCATGGGAGCGTCGGCATTGTAGAGCGTCGCGTCGTTGTCGGCGATGAAGTTGTTGCCGAGGTTGGGCTCGGTCGAGGCGGGCGAGTCGGCCGTGTTGCCGGTGGGGAGAGCGTTGAAGCCAGAGGCAGCAGAGGAGGTAGCAGCCTTGGCCTTGGCGCCGGTGTCGACCGGCTTGTCCTCACCGCCACCGGTACGGAACTCGGTCGAGTTTCCAAAGATGCCAACCTTGCGCTGGAACTGGCCACAGGGGAGGAGGAGCTTGGCCTGGCGCTCGCAGGCGTTCTCAGCTTCGTAGTGTCCATCGCCGGCGCCCTTGGTCGCCTGCGCCAGGTCGACGGGACGGTCGGCGGTCAGCCCGCGGAACTCGGTCGTGTCAAACATGCCGTTCACGGTCGGGTGCTCGGCGGTTCCCAGCTCCATCGGCAGGTCGGCGGGCATCTCGGCGCTGGCGGGAGCGTTGATCTGCATCGGCTGGTCGACGGGCTTGATCTCGTTGCTGTTCTGGATATCCATGGTGCCCCAGGGCGTGACGTTGCAGCCGTAACCGCGCGAGGCACTGGCACAGTCACCGAGGCCGATCGTGGTCGGGTCCACACCCGAGCCCTGCATCGAGATGGGGATGTGCTGGCGGTAGAAGAAGTTGAGCTGGTACTGAGGGTTGACGTAGCCGGGCTTGGGCTTGTTCTCGGGGCAGTTGGTCGGCTTGGCCGGTCCGTCCTCCCAGTTCCACTTGGGGTTGCAGCCGGGGAGAGACGAGAGGGGCTTGAGGAATCCAATGTCCTCGTCGAGGATCTGGCCCTGGTAGCGGCACTGGAAGCGCGTGTCCTTGTCGAGCAGGCCGTCGAAGGCGTGGCACTTCTCCAGGCTGTCGCCGACGCGGCAGTCCTGGTCAATGACGGCCTGGAGAACATCAGTGTCCCAACCGTTGATAAAGTCGCCGTGGTACGTGACACCAGTGACGTCGCCGTTGGACAGGATGAAGTTGGAGTCGTTCGGGTTCCACTGCTTCTTCATCTCGTCCGTGAGTTCGAACAGGGTCTCGATGAGCACCTTCGGGTACATGATAGGGTGCGTGTCGGGGCACTTGTCGGACGCGACGTTGTACTCGTTCAGGTTGCCGGAGACGGGGTGGGCCATGTGCGAAAAGTGGTCCTCCGAGTCGAGGCGCTGATCAGGGAGACCGCAACGGGGGAAGAAGATCGACATGATGACCTGGTTGGGCGCCTTGGCGTACTTGCGGGGCATGAACTTGGGGGTCGGGTTCGGGTCACGGTTGTACGAGATACGAACACCCTGCGACTGCTCAGCACCCTCGTCACGGAACATGGCGAGACCGGAGAGCATGCGGAGTCCCTTGGGGAAGGGAGTCACCTTCTGTCCACCGTCGGAGGGACGCAGGTCGTAGTAGATACGGGTACCCGAAGTAAGAGGGGTGTAGGTTCCGTTAGGCCACATGAAGTAGAGAGTGGGAGTCCAGTAGTTGGACTTGTCGGCCTGGACCTTGGTCGAAGAGCAGTGAGCGCGCTGCATCTCGTCCGGAGTGCTGAGGACGTCACGGAAGTTGGACGCGCCGAGGATCTGGTGCATGTGACCAGAAACCTCTCCGGGGTTGACAAGAGGGTCCATGCGCGAGTAAAGCAGCGTGCTCGTGTCGCCGAGGACGAACGAGACCTCGCCCTGGTTGTCGACGGCGCTGACGCCGGCAGCGGCGAGGAGGGCGCCGAGGATGGCGGCCTTGAACATCGTTTACGGTTTTGTCTGTCCGTTCACGTAGAAAAGAGTGTTAGGCAAGCGAGGAAGCAGGCCTAGCGAAAGGGTAGATAATGAACGTGGTTCGTGAAAGGATCGTAGGCAGTCGGACCAGCGACTGTTTGTCGGGAGATGACAGAGAACAAGAAAACGACGGGGAACAAAGCGACGACGAAGAACGGGATAACACAGTGTGTGCTCTTATAACACGAGCCCGCAAACGTCGTACCAAGGCTGTGATCGCGGCCATGGTGAGACCTTTGCCTTGCGTAGAGCGTGAGGTAGTCGTGAGTAGTGGGACAGTGAGCGATCGCAGGCAAACCCTGTGTGCCTGCCCGGAGTACGTACGGCATCTACCCTACAGCCAAACGTGACGGACACTCAATGCACAATGCACGGGCGGCCAAGCAGCCCACGCTGACTAGCGGTATGAGGAGGAGTACGCTGCTGTCTCCAGAGAGAAAGCGACGACCCTAGTTCATTAGACCAGCTATCGATGTTCTGGTTCGGGCAGCTCGAAGGGCTCGAGGGGAGGTGAATTGCCAGAGAATCACGCCCCTGGCACCCTTCAGGACGCGTTCGGAGCGACGTGCCTGCCGTCGGCCGTGCCTGGTCTTGGGCTGAAACTCAGTTTTGTCGCGTCGCTCGTGCATCCTCTGCCGCCAGCCCACCAGACCATTGCACAAGTGCACCTTTGCAAGTAGAGTTCCAGCACCAGTCCATCGGCTCTTGTACGTTATACCTCCAGGGCAGTGTGATTCTGAAGGAGTCTAGGTTTGGTGTCTCAACTCTGCTCCAGTGACTCGTCTGATAGAACACACCGGGTGGGCTGCTGAATCGAAGCTTGGGTGTGCATCTCTGCTTTTCCTCGCCAGGTGTGCCGCAGAAGCACATCGAGTTCCGGGTGCCTTGGCTTTGACCCAGGCCGACCCACTCCCTCACGAGGCTGGTCACTGGCAAACCTGCAGGACACAGACGTAAGCACGCGTCCACCTGGCTACGAGTGTCCGATGAGTGTCACGAGTGTCTCGCAACAATCCTGCAACCCTAGCCCACTGGCTCCAGTGGATCGCTGGATCCTGGCTTGCACCCTAGCTGCAGGCTTTGGTGATTGTGAGTAGGGACGCCGCACCGAGGTCGAGACCGTCCATTCTGGGTGCCCCGGACGTCGCAAACAACTGCTGCCCTCGACTGCGCCGAACGTCGAAGCGAGCCTCGACTCAAGCTTGACCAGGTAATCATGACCTTCCCAAATGGACTGGGAGGAGATGAGGGCGTCGCAAGCAGTGATCAAAGAGGTGATTAGAGTATTCTGGGCAGGCAGCACGGCCAGTGCCAAACTCTACTCGGCGTCGATGCCCATCAGCAATGTCTATCACACAACGGACGCACAGACAGCGCTTGTGCGTTGTTCGCCCCGAGCTTGTCCATCACCCGGTCAGCTTTTAGCTCGCCGGTCATTTGGCAGGTGGCCGTCTTTGGTCGCCGCGCCGACGAGCATTCAATCGTTCCTCACTGAGCTTGGAGTCTGCAGGCAAGTGGGCCGGGTACCTCCAGAAACCACAAAGCTTGCCCAAAGCTCCCCCGACAGCGTGCGAATGTCCGTGAGCATGCAGACGAAGCACTTTGCACTCTTGCTACATTTGCAGGGTTTCATCCAGTCGCCAGTATGAGGTAGCTGCTGGACGAAAACACACGAAAAGAGCAATCCTCCGGACCCTCCAGCTGACCCCACTCTGAGCTTGTTCTTACGGCAGGGAGGCCGTGCGACGCGTTGAATGTCGCCTCACTTTGCTTCGCTTGACCGTTGGCCGTGGTTGTATTCGGACACATAGCACTGCATCGGAGCTTGCTTTCGTGTCCTCCTCGAATGCTTTCCTCGCACCAACTGACGAGCGATCAGGCCCGGTCTGTGTGCACACTGCAGACTCATCGTATTCTCGGATCACTGTCTCGCACTTTGAGCAGGCTACGACGTCCACTCGACTGAGCTAAAGCACCACTCGTATCACTTCGTCTCCTCTCCTCGGCGTCGGTAGGCTGAGACGCAAAGTGAGGCACATTACACTCTTACGGCTCTTCCCCTTGCACCTCTTCTGGTAAGTGCAGGAAGCTGAGCCAACAGATGTCACCTGTTCTTGCGTGGAGAGTTAGCGTAGGTCTGGTCTGGCCATGAGCTGGAGAGGGGAGGAATTCCTGGTCCGGAATCGTACGGCATAGCCGGCAGAGCGTGTGCATCGGACGTGTAGGCTCCCTCCGGGCAAAGTTCAATCAGGTCCGAAGTTGTCGTGTGCTTCGTACCGCGTTCGGTGTGCTCTTCCCTTGCTGCGCGCAGGAGCGAGGAGCCCCTGCGAGAGTGCCAAAGGACGCCGGGCGTCCGTGCACATGGAATGTCCGTCGCCGGTCCATGTTGCAGGCATCCAACTCTCGTCGGACGGAGATCTGCCGGCGCTGCTCCCAGCTACTCATGTGATCATCACTCGGCTCAGCGTGGTGAGGAGTGTACCAAACAAACAGACGATGTAACGCTGCTCCTCTCCGTGCCCATTGGACTGCTCACGAAGTCCTCCGAGCGGCTCAGAGCATCTATCGACTTTCGGGTCTGGCTGCTGCCAACCCTTGCCGTACCCCGTCAGCCTGTGTGATGCACAGGCTTGACCGAACATGAGCTGGAGGACGCACTAGCAAGCCACCTGAACATTCAACAGAGCCTGTCGACCCCGAAAAGATGCACCCCCCTGGCTTCTCAGCCAGAAGACTGGAGGCAGGGGCGACGTAGTGCGCTTCTCCTCGCGGTGAAACGCACTCGTCCAAAGGGTGCGCGCTTGGCTGCACCCTAGCTCTAGGGTGCCACCACCCCACCTTCTACCAGCTCACACATCCTCAACAGCCTACAACCCTTGTTCTACCTATCTCCATACAAAAGCCTGTTCAGATTTCTTCAGACTCAGAATCGAACACACTCTCCTCATATGCATCTCGCGTCCTTCTTGCCCCTCATAACGCTTACAATGCCTCCGACAGCAGAGTGGCGACCTGCACGAGTCACGTGATACGTGCCTGACCTCCACCGTAAATGACGAGCTCAGAAACGTTTCTTTCACCTCTCCGGCTCTCCTTCATCAACAACAACAAAAGCCAGCAAGATGCCCAAGCTCCCCGAGATGATGACGTCCCTGCGCGTCTCCGACAACGGCGCTGTCGAGATTATCGACCAGCTCCGTCTTCCCCACGAGGTCGTCTGGGAGCCCGTTAAGACGCCGGAGGAGGCATTCGACGCCATCAAGTCGATGAAGGTGAGTTGGAGAGTTGGACGACGACAGCGGTACAGCTGCTGTACTAGACCGTTAGAGCTAAGTAGACTTAGAAAGAGCTGATGCCAGATCCGCGGTGCTCCCGCCATCGCCTCCCTCGCCGCCCTGGCCATCCGCCAGCACCTGATGACCGATGCGCCGAAGCTCGAGTCCATCGAGGACGTCAAGGCGCACCTCCTTCCGATGCTGGACTACCTGCAGTCCTCGCGCCCGACGGCCGTCAACCTCGGCGAGGCGATGGACCGCATCCGCCGGCTACTTGAGGCGTCTCCCGCCTCGGCCCCCGCCCTCCTCGACAGCGTCAAGGAGACGTGCTACGCGGTGCACAACGAGGACCTGGCACGGAACCGGGAGATGGGCCGCTTGGGCGCCGAGTGGCTGTGGTCGCAGCGCGGCGAGGCCGCCAAGGCCGCGGGCAAGAAGGGCCTCAAGGTCATCACGGTGTGCAACACTGGCTCGCTCGCCACCTCGGGCTACGGCACGGCCATTGGCGTCATTACGGCGCTCTTCGAGGCCGATGAGCTCGACACGGCGTACTACGCCCAGACGACGCCGTACCACCAGGGATCGCGCCTGACGTCGCTTGAGCTCACCACGCTCCAGCTTCCCGCGTGCATGGTGTGCGACACGATGCTGGGCTCGCTCATGCAGCACGAGGACATCGACGGCGTCGTCGTCGGCGCGGACCGCATCGTCGCCAACGGCGACACGGCAAACAAGATCGGCACGTACCAGGCCGCAGTGCTCGCGCAGAGGCACGGCGTCCCCTTCGTCGTCGTTGCGCCCGTCACGACTGTCGACCTGAGCCTCAAGACCGGCGCTGAGATCACGATCGAGCAGCGCCCCGCCGTCGAGGCGACCCTCGTCCGTGGCAAGAATCTCGAGACGGACAGCGTCGACGTCGTGCGCATTTCCCCCGAGGGAGTGGGTGCCGACGAGAAGCCGTGGAACCAGGTTTACAACCCCTCCTTTGACGTTACGCCGGCGGAGCTCATCTCCGCCGCCGCAAGGAGGGAGAGAAGAGCATCGACGTCAAGAGCGTTTGCTAGATTAGACTATAGGCATGGATTGATACTGATAATGCGCGTCGCGCCGCTCGGGTCCGCGGACTGCTGTGAGGAGCTGGTCGTCGAGCTGCAGCCCTGCAGCGCCCCCCCCCCCC